AGCAGCACTGACAGAGGAACGGGAGCGCAGAGGGAGTGGACCGTCCCTGGCACCACTATCCCGGTAGGGTGCCATTTCGGGGCCCCCGACATGTGCTGTGCACCTCCCTGCTTGCTGGGTGCCATGCCCCCACAGGTGGCACGTCACACCCCCCGAATGCGGGCCATGCCCCCGGGATGCGCGCCCCGCCCCCGGGGTGTGCGTCACCCCCAGGGGCGCCAGCCATGCCCCGCCTGCCCTCCATCCCCGGTAGCAGAGCATGCAGCTTTGCCACTGCACAGCAGCAGAGAAAATCGCAAAGTCCACATCCATGCAACTCCATGCACCTCTGCCTGGCTCAGAGAAACCCCCGCAAAACCGAATCAAGCACTGTTCCATAGCAATTGTTGTTCTACAATTCCATTCACCATATAGATGGGTTTATGAAGCATTTCTGTATCCTTCTGCTGTGCTGAAGAAGAATTCCACGAAACAGTGGGTATATCTTTATAGCTTTATGGCTTGTTTTCACCAGATAATAATCTGACCCATTGCTTCTCTCAGAGACTTGCATAGCCCACAAAGACTTTCAGAGACCTATAAGACTTATGTTTATTTGGTTCTGTGTTTTCAAGAGAATCCATCAAGAGTGCATATTCTGTGACTTTCAGAGATTTAGAAGATTTCCGTTTATTTGGTTTTGCAGAGAGTGCATACAGTGGTGCCTCGCAAGACGAAATTAATTCGTTCCGCGAGTTTTTTCGTCTAGCGAATTTTTCGTCTTGCGAAGCATGAAATCCCATAGGAATGCATTGAAATTCAATTAAAGCGTTCCTATGGTCAAAAAAAGTCCAAACAAAGCCACATTTGGTACAACAAGAGTTTATTAAGTGCTCTTTAAAGTCACACATACTGTAAAGAGCATTTCAAAAACTGAAGGAACAATAAATTAAGTTTCTAAACATGACAGAAAAACATTTTAAAATCAACAAAGTGTACAGTACACAGAAATTCAAACCCAGAATTTTTTTTTTTAAAAAAACAGCAGAGTGGCCCAATGGTCACAGAAAATCATAAAAATGCAGAAAAAAACAACACAAGCTTCCAGATTCTTGCAAACCCCTCGCCAACTGTTCCCCCAGCCACCCACCACACAGAAATTCAAATCCAGATTTTTTTTTAAAAAAACAGCAGAGTGGCCCAATGGTCACAGAAAATCATAAAAATGCAGAAAACACACACACAAGCTTCCAGCTTCTTGCAAACCCCTCCCCAACACCAAGTCCTTGAATTCCAAACACCCCAACCCAAAATCCAACCCCCCCCAAAAAAAGTTTTAAAAGTTTAACTTACCAAATGGCTGCAAAAGAAGTTTTGGAAAAGCTTCAAAAATCACCAAAGTCTTCAAAAACCTCAAAAAAGGCTACCACGCCACGTGCTATGAGTTGCTCCTCGAAGTCAAGTCGCAACTGCACCTCTTCAAGCAATGCACCCTGGGTATTAACGGTTTTAAGAAAAAGGAAACAAACTTGCAAGACGTTTTCGTCTTGCGAAGCAAGCCCATAGGGAAATTCGTCTTGCGAAGCAGCTCAAAAAATGCAATACCCTTTCGTCTAGCGAGTTTTTCGTCTTGCGAGGCATTCGTCTTGTGGGGCACCACTGTATTTCATATATTTCATATTGTTCAATGTTCTGTATAGATTATATAAAGAGTTTATATTGACATCGCATTGTTGTACTTGGTCATCGTGTTCCCTTTGGATATTACTGATATTTGTTTGCAACACAGGGGTTTAAATGTTTGGTTACTCAGAGAAACCCCTGGCAGAGTTTGCCAGTCCTCCTCTCCTTTCTTGTGTAGGTTGAAGTGGAAGATTCTAGAAGGCCAGTTAACTATCCCCCCCTCCCTCTTGGAACAATGAGCCCTGAAGTTGGTCGCAATAAACTTCCCGCTTCAGAGAGCAAGATGTGTTTGAATAATTACAAGAGGAAGCAGAATTAAAACATTTATTTATACTCCATGCCGTCTACACCAGCGGTATTTTAAACTTAATCATCTCAAGACAGATGGTGGAACATTTGGGCCTATTAAATTAATGGCATTCAATGTTCTCCATTTATTTTCTTCTCGGTTATTTTTGGACATTTGTCATATTTTTTTCTTTTCTTTCTTGTGGGAAAGAAAGGAATAAAGGTAAACAATGGCTATGCCCAGAGCTGGAGTTCGCCACTACAAATGTCAGAGTCTCTTCCATGGAACATGGGGAAAAATGTTACTAATTATGCATTTATTTAGGGCTTTTCACAACGCTGGGAGTGTCCATTGTACAGTCACAATGTTGACAACAACCCCGTAAGGTAGGTCTGTCTAATCAACACTAAGAGATTGCCAAGGGTGATGGAAAGTCAGAGCCCAGCAACATCCGGGCAGCCACAGCTTCTCCTGCACAATGTCTTTACTATCTGCATGAAAAGATAATAATAATAATAATAATAATAATAATAATAATAATAATAATAATAATTTATACCCTGCTCATCTGGGCAGCTTCCAACAAAATATTAAAATACAGTAATGCATCAAACATTAAAAGCTTCCCTAAACAGGGCTGCCTTCAGATGTCTTTTAAAAGATATAAATTCAACAGGTTCCCTGCAGGGCGATGCAGAGATGGGGAAAGCTGCATCTGTGGAATTTCTGCCTGAAAAGTTGTTTGAGGACAGGGAACAGTAGATTGCAAGGGTGGAAAAAGAGCCTCCTGTTGATTTATTGAGTCCTTGAGACAGTTGCTGTGTTTCATGTGGGAAGAGAAAGCTGTCTGTTGTCTGGTTGTGTTTTCCCCCCCTTTCCCAGATGAGCTGCGGAATCCATATTGCCCTTTTAAATTCTGGCAGTGGTTAACTTTAATTTTCAGTTTGGGTGTTTGCAGGGAAATTGCAGGGAGGCCCAACGCAAGCGGGCCCCTTCACAGTCTTTGTGGTGTCAAAATGCTTCCCCACCCCCTCCCTCCATCCTGTGTGTCTGTATTTAAGAGAGAAATGAGTCACAGTTAGTTCAACAGCTCTTTGAGGTGTGAAAACTAAAACTTCTTTTCACATACACACCAAAGAGTTGCTTTTTCCACTCAATAAACATTTCTGGGGTGAAGCAGCCCAGAACAGAGTAAACTTTACTTCCACCTCTGCAATTCATTTTGTCACGGAGCAAAATACGCAGTACCTTTACGACGAGACATTTCCATGTTCTCCATTGGCTTTAAAAACTCTGAGAGGAAGACATTCCCTTGAGGGTTCACAAAAGAGACACACACAGAGAAACTGGAAACAGTTTCTGCTGTGTACAATAGGCTCTGCTTTTGTATGAAAGCACATTCTCCCAACCAAAGGGAGCTTTTCTTCTCTCTGTACTTCCCTAAATTCATCCCAAACCAACTGGGCAACACCGTACTCCATATGCAGACTTTTCATCCATTTATTCCAGAATATATAAAGGTAAAAGGTAAAGGACCCCTGGACCACTGGTGGGGGTGGTCCGTCCCAGGTGTCATCCCTGAGGGGGGGTTGACATTGCTGGGCCCCCCTGGGATGCTTGTGGCAGGTGGCGCCACTCGCCGCAGGTGCCAACATTACGTCCAGTCAAAGGCGACTACAGGGTTGCAGCGCTCATCTCGCTTTCAGGCTGAGGGAGCCGGTGTTCGTCCACAGACAGCTTTCCGGGTCATGTGGCCAGCATGACTAAACTGCTTCTGGCGCAACGGAACACTGTGACAGAAACCAGAGCGCACGGAAACATCGTTTACCTTCCCGCCACAGCAGTACCTGCCACTACACATTCAAAAGACTGCCTGAGCAGTGAATGGGGGTATCAAGAGCACCCCAGACTGAGAGTTCAGGGCCCAATCCTGAGACATAGGGGTGGTAAACTGGGAAGAGAAGGAGGGCAAATGCCCCCCAGTAATGGGGATTAAATTATGGAGGTTTAATGAGGAGGGGGAAGACCATGTGTGCGACCTGGAGTTCCTCAGAGAAGAAGGTGAGATTTAAACATAGTAAATCAAGAAAACAAACAAATAAATCACATGTTGTCTCAGAAGTCCTTTCTTTCTCCTAGCCCAACTCACTTCTGTTATGAGAACTCTTGTGGGGAGAGTTCAGGCAGTGGAGCCTGCGAGCAAAAGCTTCCCCTTTACCTGCACGATCCTTTTGATGCCAACATGACGCAGGTATACTCCCAATTTTATGTGTAGCTTGGCCTTGAGAGGGGAAGAAAAACAGGCACCAGAAACCAGGAGCTCCAGAGATGAATATGGTTGAAGTTCACTGTTTCATATAATAAGCAGCCACTCGCTGGTTTCCAGCCTCCAGCGTATAATTCCTCCTCCTGCTCTCTCTTCCTGACACGTTTTCTCCTCTTTGATTTCCAGGTAGAGCGTTCTCGTTTGGATGCTGCCGCAGTGAGCGGAGGTTTGTTTCGCAAAGTTCCCAGCGGTTCCTTTATTCCTAGGAAGTCCCTGGATATGTCGCCATTCTTCGCCTGAAAGGGGAGTCCCTCCTGCCTCTTCTGTTTGAGGTGTGACGTCAAAACAACCCATCCCATCAGCCAAGGGAATCCTGTCGGCTTTCAGAACACATCACTCTCCCAAACATGATCCCTCCGTCGATGGAATCTCTGGGCCAGATTCTGAGGGGATGTGAAGGGGAGGCCAAGGCGCCAACAGAAAACGATGCTTTGAGAAAGCACCACCTTATCTCAGAGCAGGACTGATATCTAAAATAAGACAATAGACCTTTCCTTTCCAAGTCTAGGCTTGGGGGACCATTAGAATCGTGGGGTGTTTGGGGCACCCAATATGTCAAAATGCCGCATTTGAGCCATCGACACTAGCACACCCTTCCGATTTGGCCTTTGACATCAACCACGATTTATTCCGCCTGCTTGGGAATTCCTGGGCAAACTCAGAGCTGGAGCCTTTCCGCACGTTGCAGATTTGTGCCCAGTCGAGGAACGTAATGAAACCGGCATGGCCAAGCTCCTGCTAAAGTTCCAGCGGTATTTTCGGCGGAAACCCATCCGCTTCTTCACCTTGATTGCCCTCTACCTGACAGCTGGGAGTTTGGTGTTCCTCCATGCTAGCTTCACCGGAGAGGTGAGAGTCACGGAGAATGTACCCAGGGCCAATGACGTCCCCGGGAATGGGATCGAAGCCCAGTCTTTGGTGACGCTACAACTTGGCCGGGAGTTTAAAGAGACACCGGAATCGTTGACCGTGGCCCGGAGGTATGGATCGTGGTTTAAGAGCCCTTCTAAGGATACAGCGGCGAGGAGCAAGATAGGGGACTACGGCGGGACTTGGAGTAGAGCCCTCAAGGGCAGGAACATGCGAGAGAAGGAAGAAGATAGAGGTAACATCTCCTTTGAGCGGTTATATGGGAGGCAAATGAAAGCTTTTGGTTTGGAATGGAACGTAAAGGTTTTGCAGGGTTTTCTGAAATCCAGCCTCTTTTCCTTCCCTGTTTGTTTGTTTTGCAAACATCTTTTCTCTACAGCTGACATCCTTATGAGGACTATGTCAAATATTCCCCTGGTTTGAATTTGGGGTCAAAAATAATGGTTGTCAAACGTTCAGAATCTGAAATTCAATTCTGTCTCCTGCTTTTGCTTTTGTTCCATTCTGAACTTTTGCTGCTGCTTCCTCCTTCTCCCTGGTTGGGTGATCCCGACCAATCAGGGATCACAGTGCAGCCAGTTCCAGCCAATCAGGGAGCCCAGCAAATAAATATACCAATGTTTTAATGTTTCTTTCTTTATTTTACTTTCATAAGTAAGTATGTTTCTTTATTTTACTTTCCTATTTTATTTCAATATGTTTATAAATGACCCATGTCGGTCCTTTCTGGCCTAAAAATAGGGGGGGAGTGTGGATAATAAAATAAGAAGAAAAAGAATTAGAATAAAATTTTGAAAAGAAGAAGCAAGCAGTAACCTGGTTATGATTTCTGCTTGTTGTAGTTGACTGGGGGAGTGGCTGTTTACAAAACTGAATTAGACTGCAGTCACAAGGCAGTTTATTCTGCTTTCATGACATTTCGCTAACTATGAGTTTCTGCATTTCATTTGTGCTTTCACGGGACATAGAAACCTCTTCCAGAAATATAGCAGAATATAAAAAGGTAAAGGTAAAGGTACCCCTGCCCGTACGGGCCAGTCTTGACAGACTCTAGGGTTGTGCGCCCATCTCACTCAAGGGGCCAGGGGCCAGCGCTGTCTGGAGACACTTCCGGGTCACGTGGCCAGTGTGACAAGCTGCATCTGGCGAGCCAGCGCAGCACACGGAAACGCCTTTTACCTTCCCGCCAGTAAGCGGTTCCTATTTATCTACTTGCACTTTGATGTGCTTTCGAACTGCTAGGTTGGCAGGCGCTGGGACCGAACAACGGGAGCGCACCCCGCCGCGGGGATTCGAACCGCCGACCTTTTGATCGGCAAGCCCTAGGTGCTGAGGCTTTTACCCACAGCGCCACCCGCGTCCCACACATAGCAAATATGGTGCAAGTTTAATGCTTATTTCCATATAATTTGCTCCCAGAAAGAAAGGTTTATAAGCAAAATGGAAATGAGTGCTAAACTTGCTCTGTTCTCTCTGTATTTCTGGAAGTGGCTTTTCCATTGTATGAAAGCTCAGATATAATGCTGAAATCAACAGTTATGGAAATGTCGTGAAAATGGAATAAGCGGTCATGTAAATGCAGCCTTAGTGAATTGGATGATTTTCTGATACTATGAAAAGAAATCATAGTACGCTCCCCTCTACAAAGTCAGGACATTGATCTTTGTAGACCAGAACGGTCTGCTCAGTGATGGAATTCTCTTCCCTTGGTGTGGATTTTAAAGCAGGTTTCAGTAAGCCACACGCTTTCAAATTGCATCTTCTTCAATAAGAATGCCCCTCCCCCAATCTGTTTTGTTTTTTTTAATCACTGTTAAATGTGGCAGCCCTCGTCAGCTTTGATTATTTTTATTTATCATTTTTTTTCACAATGTTGGGAACCACCTTGGGTGGGCTAGTGCCCCAAAAGGTGGCCTAGAAACAATTTCATAAGAAAATAGAAATAACAATATTTGTTCTCCGAAAGCATCCATTAAAATGCGCCGATGAATTCTTTTAAAAAACAAATCAATTGCAAATGAATGTGGACATTAAGAGAACCAAACTTAAGACTGAAAAACACTTACAGCTCTGCTCACCTTTGCTCCTTGCTCCCCCAGAATTTGCCACCTGAGGCAAGCGCCTCACTCTGCCTAAGGGCAGGGCCGGCCCCGAGTGTTGGGGGTGGCTGGAGGGCTTTGTTTTCCTCAAATCTATTCGAAAAGTCAGATGTGGGGCTGATTTGGCTCAGGTCAGGTGTTCTTCAAAGCCAAAAGCCCAGGCATCATCACATCCCTTTCATTTTGCTCCGCTGATGGTGTCTTTTGACTGGTGACTTATGGGGACTGTCTGGAGAGCACTTAGTGCCTTGAAGGCCTCATTTACTCTACCTGACAGGTTGCTTATATTTTTGGAGAGGAGAGGATGCCGCCGTATCTCTGCTTCATTCATTACAAAGTAGAAGGGCAGCCCAGAGGCTCCTCTGTCATTCCGATGCCATAGTCCCCAGAACCCTTGTTAATATGTCGTAAACAAAATGTGGGGAACAGAGGGAAGTTTTTTCTCCCCATCTCACAACCCCAGAACATCCGAGGAACCTGAATGTTGGACGATACCAGACTAATAATAATAATAATAAATTTTATTTACATCCCGCCCTCCCCAGCTGAAGCCGGGTTCAGAGCGGCTAACAACAATAAAAGTAACACAGCATTCTAAAATCAATTCATTCTAAAATCAATTCAAGATCAAATTAATGGCAACCATTGGGCTAGAGTTCATTGCGAGAAGTGAGGCTACAGGGAACCAGACAGAGGGTCTTCTTGGTAGTGGCGCTCGCCCTGTGGAACGCCCTCCCATCAGATGTGAAGGAAATAAGCAGCTACCTTATCTTTAAAAGACATCTGAAGGCAGCCCTGTTTAGGGAAGTTTTTAATGTTTAATGCTGTATTGTTTTAACACTCGACTGGGAGCCACCCAGAGTGGCTGGAGAAACTCAGCCAGATAAATAATAAATTATTATTATTATACAGTGGTACCTCTGGATGCAAACGGGATCCGTTCTGGTGCCCCGTTTGCATCCAGAGCAGAACGCAACCCGCGTTTGCCCATGCGCGGGTCACAATTTGCCGCTTCTGCACATGTGCGAGCGACGAAACCCGGAAGTAACGCGTTCTGTTACTTCTGGGTCTCCATGGAGCATAACCTGAAAATGCTCAACCTGAAGCAACTTCAACCTAAGGTATGACTGTATATTATTATTCAGCCGGCTCGCCTTATATCCTGATATTCTTATGTTCATATCATGCCTTTCTGAATAATATGCCAGATATCTGGATTAGTGCAAAGCTGGGATCCAGGGCAGGGAAGCCTTTTCATCCTGAGGGAACAGTTCTTCATGTGGCCAGAGGCAATAGTTGATGGAGCACAGGATGCGAAACTTGCCAGGCATGAGACACCCTCACAGCTCAGGGATAAAGCAACTCAAGGAGGCCCTGGGAGAAGGCCAGCGAGGGCCGTGTCCTATGGAAAGTTCAGAGGGTCAGTCAGAGAGACAGACCCATTCCGCCCAGTTTAGACGGGCATCAAAGCTTCACTTGGCCATCTTTGAGTACCAGCGACGAAGGCATCCGCCAAACGCCCATCACAAAAACAGCACCACCTGTGAACAAGACCACAGAGTAATAGAGTTGGAAGGGACCACAGTGGTCATCTAGTTCAACCCCCTGCAATGTGTGAGACTTGAACCCATAAGAGCCAACTCTTAGGAGCCATGGGGGCTTTGGCCCCCATAGTAAAATATTAGGGGGGGGCGCAAAGTTGATGAGCATTCCCATTCAAATGGTGTGTGTGCGCACTGTGTCATGTGATGGATCGTGCGGGGCGGGTTTTATCCGAGCCCCCGCAATATTTTGTTCAGATTGGCACACCCTGCTTGAACCCACAGCCCTGAGATTAAGAGTCCCATGCTCTACTGACTGAACTATAAGTGTATGTATATGTTTGTGGGGTTGCCACACTCAGGAGAAGGGCAAGGTTTGCAGAAGGTCAAACGTTCTTTTGGAAAGAATCGGCAGCGGCGGCGGGATGGGTGGTTGCTTGGTGGGTTGGGTTTATCCAGAACAGCCCGCTGAAAGGTTAGCAGGCTCAGTGGGCACAGAATGCTGTCAACATGGGAAAGGGTGTGGGATGGAGTCTCAGAGCCAGCCCACCTGTGAGGCACAGTGAGGCGGTTGCCTGGGGGTGGCACACTCCCAAGGGTGATGGTGGGGCATAGCAGGGGTGGGTGGGGATATGAAACATCGCACCCTGGCCCATCCCATCCTACAAGAAGGTATGGGTGGCTGCTGGGAGCTGTGGCGCTCGTGCTGCAGCATTTTGTTGCAGTTCTGATTTGCTGCAGCCATCGAAGAGTCCACTCTCTGGCAAAAAAGCTTGTTACATCCTGATGTCATCTTCTCAGGAATTCTCCAGTTGCCTCTAGATTTGCTTCCCTCGTTCGAAGTCACCAGGGCACCCCTTTCCAATGCCAGCTCCCCTCCGAACCAAAACAGTGGCGCCATTTCCCTCCCCCTCCTCGCGAGCTTTTGGCTCGGTTGCCACGCTCTGTGAACAAAGGAGAGGGGGCTGGACCCGTTTGGGGGAACATATTTGGCTGGGCTCATTACTTTAATTTGAAATGACAATCAGAGAATTTCTACCAGATGGTGAGTGAAGACTCAACTGTCAGTGGCGGCACAGTCGGCCATCGCGTTCCCAGCCATATGCAAGGTGTCTGCAACAATTAACCTCCGCTAGGACGGCTCCTAATTCCTAATGAGGGTGACAGCGATTGGCCTTGGGAAATAACGGCATTACTCGACGTGGGTGAGCTGTGTCTGTCGCTGACACACGCCCCTCCGTTGACTCTCGTAAAAAGGTGGGCGAGGAGATGCAAATCGTTCCGCCATTCAACGCAACAGCTTCCCCTTTCTAGATGGCTGTGTTTGTTTGGAGTAGGGCTGCATCGAAAGCCGGCTCCAGGCCTGCTCCTCTGCAAGAGTTTCCAAAGAGCCTGCCAATGGGCGCCCCTCTGGCCACCATCCTCTTCTCACAGTGGCCAAGAAGATGCTCCAAAGAGAAACTAGTGAGCAGGACCTGAGCACAAGAGCAACGCTCCCTGGTTTCCAGGGGCGTAGCGTGGGTTGCAGGCACCCGGGGCAGAACAAATGTTGCAACCTCCGGTAGACTGGCCAGCAGAGTCTCTGCTTGCAAACTAGCCCCAACCTGGGAGCGGAGAAACATGAAACCAGGGGCGCCAGTGTGTTACCTCACCCTCCTGTCCTTGCAGCTAGGCGCTCTGGACAATGCATGCGGCTATAATAATAATAATAATATTAATAATAATAATAATTTACCCCGCCCATCTGGCTGGGCTTCCCCAGCCACTCTGGGCGGCTTCCAAAAAAATATTAAAATACTGCAATACATCAAACACTAAAAGCTTCCCTAAACAGGGCTGCCTTCAGATGTCTTCTAAAAGTCTGGTAGTTGTTGTTCTCTTTGACATCTGGTGGGAGGGCGTTCCACAGGGAGGGCGCCCTCTGCCTGGTTCCCCGTAACTTGGCTTCTTGCAGTGAGGGAACCGCCAGAAGGCCCTCGGTGCTGAACCTCAGTGTCCGGGTAGAACGATGGAGGTGGAGACGCTCCTTCAGGTATACTGGGCCAAGGCCGTTTAGGGCTTTAAAGGTCAGCACCAACACTTTGAATTGTGCTTGGAAACGTACTGGGAGCCAATGTAGGTCTTTCAAGACCGGTGTTATATTGTCTCGGCGGCCGCTCCCAGTCACCAGCCTGGCTGCCACGTTCTGGATTACAGTGGTGTCCCGCATGACGAATGCCTCGCAAGACGGAAAACCCGCTAGACGAAAGGGTTTTCCGTTTTTGAGTTGCTTCGCAGGACGAATTTCCCTATGGGCTTGCTTCGCAAGACGAAAATGTCTTGCGAGTCTTGAGATTTTTTCCCCGCTTCCCCCCCCCTTTATCTAAGCCGCTAAGCCTTTAATAGCCTTTTAGCAGCTAATCCGCTAAGCCGATAAGCCTTTAATAGCCGCTAAACCGCTAATAGCGCTAATCCGCTAAGCCGCTAATAGGGTTGCTTTGCAAGACGAAAAAACCGCTAGACGAAGACACTCGCGGAACGGATTAATTTCGTCTTGCGAGGCACCACTGTAGTTGTAGTTTCCGGGTCACCTTCAAAGGTAGCCCCGCGTAGAGCGCATTGCAGTAGTCCAAGAGGGAGATAACCCAAACGCTTTCCCACCTTCCTCTCCCTCCCTCCCTCCTCCCTCTTGTCTAGCCTAGGAGTAGGGCATGTAGAGGCTTCCCTTTGCCGGCCACGAGGAAAAGGAGTTACTGCAGCAACAAAGGCCCAGCCTGGGCACGGATTGCCTGCATGTGGCTCCAGCCTCAATGAGGAAGCCTGTCATGGGGGCGCCTTGTTGTACCTCCTCAGAAATCTGTGGTTGGGGCCACGGGCCCCCCTGCCCCTCATGCTATGCCACTGATAGTTTCCCACAACTGGTACAGACCTCCAAGTGTCCCTATTTTCCAGGAACAGAAGTAGTCCCAGTTTCTGATTTGAACCCCAAATCTCCCACTTTTCCTTAGGATGTCCCTATTTCCACTGGAGAAATGTTGGGACGGTACGGAGTTATGCGGCGCCTGAGCCAAGTAGATAAGTAGCTATGCAACCTTTAGAAGACACCTGAAGTCAGCTCTGTATAGGGAAGTTTTTAAAAAAGTTGTATTATGTTTTTATATATATTGGAAGCTTCCCAGAGTGACTGGGGCAACCCCATCAGATGGGTTGGGTACTATTATTATTATTATTATTGTAAAGAGACCCCTGACCGTTAAGTCCAGTCACGGACAACCCTGGGGTTGTGGTGCTTATTTTGCTTTACAGGCCGAGGGACTGCAGACAGCTTCCGGGTCATGTGCCCAGCATGACAAAGCCACTTCTGGCGAACCAGAGCAGCGCACGGAAATGCTGTTTACCTTCCCGCTGGAGTGGTACCTATTTATCTACTTGCACTTGACACGCTTTCAAACTGCTAGGTTGGCAGGAGCAGGGACCAAACAGCGGGAGCTCACCCTGTCGTGGGGATTCGAATCACCAGCCTTCTGATTGGCAAGCCCTAGACTCAGTGGTTTAGACCACAGCGCCACCCGTGTCCCATTATTATTTAAGACACTCCTATTTTCACTGCAGAAATGTTGGAGAGAATGCTGGTGTTCAAAAGCATTACAGCCTCTGACTGTAGAGGCAGAGCACCGCCATTGCGGCTAGTAGCATTTTGGCTCTCCGTACTTCCATATTATCACCTCAGTGTTTTTCTTCATGGACATATGTGTGTCAGTAACACAGAGCGACGAGGGAATTGAACTGAAAGTGGTAGCAAACTGTGAATGCTCCCATTCCAGAATTAATTTCAGAAGCTCTCCTGCTTTAGGTCAAAATTCGAGAGGAGGAGAGAATAAGAGAAAGGCGGAAGGAATGGAACGGGATGGAATCTCCCCCTTGTAGCCATTTTGTGCATCCTAGGGCTCTGGTTCAGCTCAGAGGCTAGGCCAAAGCCTTCCCGGGTGAGGTGTCTTTTAAGGAGAGATTTTTGCAGAAGGGACTTGCCCGTTTTTATTAAAAAACGGAATGGCTAGAGATTTCTTTCTTTTTCCTTTCGGGAGCACGGATGCAGAATGAACACCCAGCATGTTTTCCTCACAGAGCCTGATGGCTTGTAAATCAAAGCATCGTCAGTATGCTGGAGAGCACTCTCAGCAGCCATGCCTAGCCTGTGGCTTAACAGGGCTGTCAGCATGATTGATGATTCCCCAGACAGGGAGTGGAGGTTTTTGGGGAGAAAGAGGCTGGGAGAGTGGGAGAGACTGAGAGCTCGCACGCCACTTTGCGATGGCCATTGTTTATGTGACACTCCGTGGCGATGGAGAGATGGAGTCCGAAGGGGCTGTGCTGGATAGCAACGCCCCGTCATCAGGGGCAATGGAAGGTGGGCCCAAATCCTTGCATCTTTGGGCATCATCGTAGGGGAGGAAAATCCCTTGCTGCCTCACGCTCAGTCCTGGATCTTGGCTGATTTGGGTGTTTCCTCTTCTTCTCTCATTTAGGAACATTACTGATGAAGCTGGTGTGTTGGCGGATTGAGCTGGCTGGCACTTGTATGACACTGAGCAGCCAGCGCAGGGCAGGACCTCCCAGGCAGCAGGCTGGGGACAGTGTTTGGGGTGGGGGAGATCCAGAAAGGAGATATCACACACCATTGCTGCTCCTCTTTTGGTTGTGGATAGGAGTTGCTGCCTCTCCAGTCACCCCTGAGGGAGAATGTTTCCAGGGGTGTCTTACCCATAGAGGCTAATAGTAGTAGTAGTAGTAGTAGTAGTAGTAATAATAATAATAAATTTTTATTTATACCCCACCCTTCCCGGTTCAAAAACCGGGCTCAGGGCGGCTAACAACAAATTTAAAACACTTTAAAACACTTAATTATAAAAGCAGCATAAAATACAATACAGTGGTGCCCCGCAAGACGAATGCCTCGCAAGACGGAAAAACCGCTAGACGAAAGGGTTTTCCGTTTTGAAGTTGCTTCGCAGGACGAATTCCCCTATGGGCTTGCTTCGCAAGACGAAAATGTCTTGCGAGTCTTGAGATTTTTCGCTTTCCCCCTTTATCTAATCTGCTAAGCCTTTAATAGCCTTTAATAGCCTTTTAGCAGCTAATCCCCTAAGCCTTTAAGCCTTTAATAGCCGCTAAACAGCTGATAGCGCTAATAGCGCTAATCCGTCAATGGGCTTGCTTCGCAAGACGAAAAAACCGCTAGACGAAGACTCTTGCGGAACGGATTAATTTCGTCTTGCGAGGCACCACTGTATAAAAGCATGAATAACAATAAAATTCAAAATTCAAAAATCAAAAATCAATTAGATTATCCCCAGGGCTGGCTGGCTGAATTAGTCCTACTTGGGCCAGTGAGGAGGTCAGGGGAGAATTAGCTGTGGGGTCTCAGAGCGGGTGATCTTCATAAAAGGGGAGGTGGAGGGAAGAGAAGGGAAATAAAAGATCAGGCTGGATTCAAATTAAAGGCCAGGCAGAATAGCACTGTCTTACAGGCCTGACGGAAGGAGGTTAAATCCTGGAGGGCCCTAGTCTCATGGGACAGAGCATTACACTAGGTCGGAGCCATCACTGAAAAGGCCCTGGCCCTGGTGGAGGATAGTAGTGCAGGGTGCCGGGGTGCCAAGTTCTGGAGGGCGCCAGGGAAGAGGTGGAGGCTGGATGCGGCGCCTCCCGGCACCAGCTCACCGCCCTCGCCCGCCATGCAGCGCCATGCCCTGAGTCTCCGTCTGCCCTGACCACCGTGGCACAAAGCGACCAGCTGATCCGCGAGGTGCCACGTCCAGCCTCCGCCTCTTCCCCGCCGGAGGAGCCGCCCTCCAGCTGCTGCCCGCCTCTTCCAGCCCCACCGGCAGATCTATCCTCCCTAAAAAAGCTCTGGGAAATGGGGGGGGGGCAGGCGCCAGAGGAAGCTTTGCACCACGGCGTCGGATATGCTTAAGATGGCCCTGAATGTTCCTCTTCCAGTGCCTGCTTCTCTTCAGCCTCCCCTTTTCTCCCCTTTCTCATGCCATCTCAGGCAATAGGGGCAGAGGTGGTGGGGTATGCAGGCCCTAGCTGCTCCTTTCCCCGTGCCCCCCCTTGCCACTAGCCTTGGCCACTGGCAAAATATATTGGGCTGCTCCAGAGCTTTGCTGCTTCTTCCCAGGAGACAGGGACCAAGATCAGCTGGCCTTCGATATCACTTGAAAGCAGCCTTGAACACAGGAAGAGATGACTGGAGATATGTGGTGCTCCTCTAGGGGTGGGGTGGGGATTCAGCTCTGTTCACATTTCAGTAATGTGAGCTTACCCGATTTGCTCTTGCTGAAAAGATAACACGCAAAGCAAAAATTTCATTTCTCCTTTAAAAGCCACACCCCTCAAAGTTCAAACCTGTCCCTGTCTTCTGCCATACGCTGCCCCATCATTGCTGCTTCATCCTCATCTTCTTGGAGGTCCAGATAAAGGGCCTCATCCTGGACAGTCGCTGGGCAGGGTCTTCTGAGAGCCACGCTCAATTTGGGTCCTTTGCTGTGTGCTGGTGTGACGTGACTGGAGTCCAGCAAAGAGATGGGAGGCAGAAGGAGGCGTCAAGACGTGGGCAATATTGTGCTAGCTTTCCTCACTGTTATATATTTAGTACAGTATTTATTTATATGCCGCTCCGTTGTTTTAAAAAATCTCAAAGTGGTTTATGAGAAAGGGGGGGGGACCCCAATAAAATTATTGCTAATAAAGACGAATAACAACGATTTGAAACTTCTGAAAAGTTAAAATAATGGTAGGCTAAATAAAGCTGAACATATGGGTGGACTTGTCCAAACAAAAGTGTTTTTAGCAGGCGCCAAAAAGGGTGAAGGCACCTGCCTGATGTCTAAAGGCATGGAGTTCCACAGTGTACAAATGCTGTCACACTGAAATATTGATTTCTTTCAGCTGCACAACAGGCATTGTGTGGCACCTGGAACTGTGCCAGTTCTGCCAATCGACACAGTCGAGTGGGCATATATGGAGTTCACGCTGCTTGAATTTCTGTCCCATTTTCTAACATTTCTTTCACACTGCAGGACCTGCTGTGTTGTGGAACTGTGGCTTGTTGATCTGTTTACTGGCATCTTGCGTGAATTGTCATTCACTCCCAGTAGGCACAACAACAAATGTCACTGGGCTTTGCTGCTACTCGACTGCGCTTTCCACACATGCCTGCTTCTGCCATTCCCATGATTTCGCCCATGAAAACAGCAGGAAAGGACCCAGTGTTGTTTGTTGTTATTTAGTTGTTTAGTTGTGTCCGACTCCTCGTGACCCCATGGACCAGAGCACGCCAGGCCCTCCTGTCTTCCACTGCCTCCCGCAGTTTGGTCAAACTCATGCTGGTAGCTTCGAGAACACTGTCCCACCATCTCATCCTCTGTCATCCCCTTCTCCTTGTGCTCTCCATCTTTCCCAACATCAGGGTCTTTTCCAGGGAGTCTTCTCTTCTCATGAGGTGGCCAAAGTATTGGAGCCTCAGCTTCAGGATCTGTCCTTCCAGTGAGCACTCAGGGCTGATTTCCTTCAGAATGGAGAGGTTTGATCTTCTTGCAGTTCATGGGACTCTCAAGAGTCTCCTCCAGCACCAGAATTCAAAAGCATCGATTCTTCGGTGATCAGCCTTCTTTATGGTCCAGCTCTCACTTCCATACATCACAACTGGAAAAACCATAGCTTGAACTACACGGACCTTTGTTGGCAAGGTGATGTCCCTGCTTTTTAAGATGCTGTCTAGGTTTGTCATTGCTTTTCTCCCAAGAAGCAGGCGTCTTTTAATTTCATGACTGCTGTCACCATCTGCAGTGATCATGGAGCCACCGCTTTATTCCATTATGTTTTTCGGGCTAAGAGGGCTGCAAACATAGTTTCCTTTCCTGGATCCCAATAACATGGAAATGGACACTAAGCACTAATTGTATTCCATTAGTTTTCCTGAAGTGAATTTCGTTTCATGTGAATGGACATCTTCTCCTTTCTTCTTCTTCTTTCGCGATCCCTCGTAGTGGAATAAGATTGTCTTCCATAAACACGGTTTTAATAGTGAGTGCGTAAGTGATTGTGGAGGCCAATTTTGGATCCACACATCCTTCCACAGTGGGGACATAGGTCTCCGGGCGGGAGTTGATCACGGTGAGGGTTTGCCAAGCATGCCTTCCTCTTAGCACGTTTCTCCTTTGCGTCCTGAGTTCAAGTGTCTTCAAAGCTCATGACACCTTTGGTAAAGGCTGTTCTCCAACTGGAGCGCTCGCAGGCCAGTGTTTCCCAGTTGTCAGTGTTTATACTACTTTTTTTTTTTAGATTTGCCTTGAGACGGTCTTTAAAACTCTTTTGTTAACCACCAGCATTACGCTTTTCATTTTTAAGTTCGGAATAGAGTAGTTGCTTAATGAGGAAATCAGGATTACATTTACATGGCAGTGAATTCCATTTGCACAATGTGTTAATTTCCCACATTATATCTGAACTTTCGCACAACGTAAATGCTTCTTCTTGAATATAGCACAAGTTTAGCACTCGTTTCCATATTATTTGCAAACAGATTCCCCACCCTACCCCCCGGAAGGAAATGACACAGAAATGAGCATGACACTGCACTATATTCCACAAGTGGCTTTTACATTGTGTGAAAGCTCAAATATAAAGTAGAGCTTGACAGTCAGAGAAAAGTCATGAAAATGGAATAAACTGCTGTGTGATCAGAGCCGGAGAACATAGCCCTCCAGATGTTTTGGCCTACAACTCCCATGATCCCTAGCTAGCAGGACCAGTGGTCAGGGATGATGGGAACTGTAGTCTCAAAACATCTGGAGGGCCGAGTTTGAGGCAGCCTGTTCTAAGTCATTGTTGCAGTGCCCTCTCGGCTCAGCGAACCGACCGTGCTCCCCTAAACCCTCCTCTGCTTTGCAGGTCCCTTCCAGTTCTATATTTCTGCGATTCCGAGGGTGGCTCAGCAGGTGATATTTTCACAGCTTCCTGCCTCTGGCAATTTCTGTCCTAATCAGTAAGACTTCAGGTTCCTTGTCAGGCCATATTAATAGGCATGGCTTTAACAGATTACAGAACAGCTGACTGCCCACCTGGCACTTGGAGAGGAATGTCCTCCCCTCCCCTTAATAGGCGTAAGAAATGGCAGTAGCTACGCTTCACTGAACAAACAGCCTGAGCGATGCGCACTGCCGAAGTTTCTGCCCAACAGGCCCCCGCTGCATTCTTTATTGCATCCAAGGGGGTGGCTGGGAGGGTTGGAGGAACTGAAGATGGGAAAATGAAGCTTTGCTTGAGCTGCTGTTTCAGGGACAAGAAATTCCAGCCATAGCTGCAAGCCTCCTCATTGCCACCAACTGCGCTGGACTATAGAGTGAGGCACCCCCAGGAAGAGCAGGCAGGCTGTCTTCTCTGCCAACCAGCCAGGATCATACTGACTCAAGTGGCAAAGCTGGCTTCTGCCTGGTTGTCTCGATAGGAAACTTGAAACCCACCAGTTTCCACCCTGGTCCTACCTTTTCACTTTAGGCTACTTTACAGATAGCACAGAAAATGTGTTTTGTGTATCTGGCCAGAGATGATGATGATGATGATGATTGTTAAGTTGTGGGTGAACATATCAGACGACACAGCAATTCTTCAAACAGCTCTTGTTTATTCAGAGGCCAGAACAGAACTGAACTGAAGGGCTCAGTCAGCCTGCTTATATAGAGCTCCAGCACCACGTAACTGTAACAATTTTCTAAAACTATCCAATCACTGAACGTCACTTTCGATCCCTTATTTGCATAACTATCTACAGTATCCCCCTGGTGGCCCAGGGTGAGAACTTCAGTACATAACAATGATGATGATGATGATGATGATGATAAATTTTATTTATACCCCGCCCTCCCTAGCCAAGGCCGGGCTCAGGGCAGCTAACAACCAATAATAAAAACAAGTTGATTGAAATACAATTTAAAAAACAAGATTAAAATACAACATTAAAACATTAAAATGCAGCCTCATCACAGGAGGAGAAAGGAAAAAGAAAGAGGGGGAGGGAATCAAATTGATTCCAAGCCAAAGGCCAGGTGGAACAACTCTCTCTTACAGGCCCTGCAGAAAGAAATCAGATCTGGCAGGGCCCTGGTCTCATGAGGCAGAGCGTTCCATCAGGCCAGAGCCAGTGCTGAAAAGACCCTGGCTCTGGTTGAGGCTAATCTTACTTCCTTAGGGCCCAGGACCTCTAGGGTGTTGCTATTTACGGACCTTAAGGCTTTTCAGACTCACCTGGAAGGTGGTGGACTCTCCTTCACTGGAGGTTTTTAAGCAGAGGTTGGACGGCCCTCTGTCATGGATGCTTCAGTTGAGATTCCTGCATTCCAGGGGGTTGGAATACAGTGGTACTTCAGAAGTCGAACGGAATCCGTTCCAGAAGTCCGTTCAACTTCCAAAACGTTTGGAAACCAAGTTTGCGGCTTCCGATTGGCTGCAGGAAGCTCCTGCAGCCAATCAGAAGCCATGGAACGTGCGTCGGACGTTTGGGTTCCAAAGAACATTTGCAAACTGGAACACTCACTTCTGGGTTTGCGTTGTTCAGGAGCCAAAATGTTTGGCTCGCAAGGCGTTCAGCTTCCGAGGTACAACTGTAGATTATGTTTGGTGTCGCTTCCAACTCTACAATTATACGAATCCGATTCCATGCTTTAAGCCTATAGATCAGAGTTGCTGTTTCGTTGTGATTTCATTGTGCTGCTAGTTCCAAAGAATCCCGTGCCACTTCCTCCCTGCCAAAAGGCAGCGAGGCATCGTATCGTGACCGATGTCTGCTTTTGGGCAAGTTGTACACAACAATGGATAATTTCTTCCCTGAAAGTTGTTCAAGGCTCATTTCTGAAAAAGGAAATACAGAAATCTGGGACACGGCAGCATTGCTAAATGCCTGATCTCTCCCCAGGCGCTGGGGCGGCTGTGCTAAGGACCATGCTCTCCTCACAATCCCTTTAAGAGTAGCCTCCCCCGTGACTTTCTCAGTAGCAAATGAGAGAGTTCCTATTGAGGAAGGAGTGCTGCCTCTGCTCTCAGGCACCCAGTGTGTCGTGTGTCGCTAAGCGGAACGGATGCAGCAACTCAGGTCATCGTGGCTGAACGTTAAACTCTGTCTTTGAATGCTCTGAGGGGGCTTAGCAAAAGTGGAAGATCGAGGCGGCGGCAAAAAATGGCTGCAAAAAGGGACTTAGTGCCTGTACGACACGCGTCAAACGGCTCTTGTCCAGTCCATTACCAAGCCTCGGCTCCGCTTCCACAGCTAGAGGCAGCAGGGCTACTGAATCCCAGTTACTGGAAACCCTGGGAGAGGAGATGACTCTAATAATAATAATAATAATAATAATAATAATAATAATAATAATTTATTTATACCCCGCCCATCTGGCTGAGTTTCCTTTTTTTAAAAAAATAAAAATAATATTTATTGAATTTTAAAGGGTTACAAAAAGAAAAAATTAGAAAACAGCATATTTAAAGAATACAAAACATCACATCACAATAATAATAAAAAAGAAACAAGAAAAAAAAGAAAAAAATACAATAAATCTTCCCATATCTTATCTTTCATTTGCTTATTTCCTTGACCTCCTCACACCTCCCTTTTTTGTATTCTAGTTCAATTAGCTATTTCAGCAAATCCTTTCCATCTTTTCCAGTTTTTGTCCTCTATTTTATCTTAATATAATATAGCTTTACTTTCCCTCCTTCACCATTTAACAATCTATTTTTCCTTAATCCTTTATAGCATTTCTGCTAAAACTGCATTATTTCATTCCAACATCCTTCTAACATTCCTTAATTTTACAATGTTTCTGTAAAGAAGCTTTAAATTTCTTCCAATCTTCTTCCACCAACTCTTCTCCCTGGTCTCGGATTCTGCCAGTCATTTCCGCCAGTTCCCATCTGGCTGAGTTTCCCCAGCCACTCTGGGCAGCTCCCAATCAAGTGTTAAAAACAATACAATGTTAAATATTAAAAACTTCCCTGAACAGGGCTGCCTTCAGATGTCTTTTAAAGATAGGATAGCTGCTTATTTCCTTCACATCTGAAGGGAGGGTGTTCCACAGGGTGGGTGCCACTACCGAGAAGGCCCTCTGTCTGGTTCCCTGTAACCTCACTTCTCGCAATGAGGGAACCGCCAGAAGGCCCTCGGTGCTGGATCTCAGTGTCCAGGCTGAACGATGGGGGTGGAGAAGCTCCTTCAGGTATACTGGGCCGAGGCCATTTTGGGCTTTAAAAATCAGCACCGTCACTTTGAATTGTGCTCGGAAACGTACTGGGAGCCGATGCTCTTGCTGGTTTTGCTTTGGGGCTCCTGGTTGGCCGCTGTGAGAACAGGATTGGCCTGATCCAGCATGTTCTTCTGACGTGCATGAGGAGGGACACTGCCCTGATTTCCCCGAATAAAAAAATGTGAAGCATAAAGAATGATTTTGGTTGTTTGTGGTGTCCCTCAACAAGGGCCTGTGACACCAGTAGTGGGAAATTAAATTGAAATTAAGAACAGCTCCTTTTAACACCTGTCTCCCTTTCACAGCAAAATACATCGGCTGTTACGTCGACAACACCCACCGGAGAGCCCTGCGCGGAGTGTCCTTCTTTGACTACAAAAAAATGACATTGTTCCGTTGCCAAGACAACTGCGCCGAACGGTAGGGTGGCGCGAGAGAGCTGGGACTTCATTAATTCCAAGGCATCAAATGTATTTCTCTCCTGTCAGCCCCGGAGGCTCAACTCTTTCCCCGTGGTTGTTTTTCTTCCTCCCTCACCGCCTCCCAATAATTTCGAAAGATCGATTTTTTTTTTCCCTCACTGGGGGGGAAAAAGGCAAGGCCTCATTTGCAGTGGAATGGCCTTCTCTCGACAAGACGGGGAGCCTAGAAACTCTGGCGAGAGGAACCTGCAGTAGCTGCGGGAAAAGAGTAGGGAACCATTTGAAGTCATGGCTTCTTCCCCCAGAGAATTCTGGGAGCTGTGGTTTTTGTTGTGTTGTCGAGAGGCCCCTGTTCTTCTTGCAAACCTATGATTCCTGGGGCACTTAAGCAAGTCCGTCTCCCTCCCCAGGGAACTCTGGGAATTGTAGCTCTGGGAGGGGAAGAGGGGTCTTCTAACAACTGAAGGAGCAAAGGTCGCAGGCAAGGCTCAGTTGGGAGATCAGGATCAAAAGAGGCCATATTTACACCATGCCATGATGCTACTTTAAACAATCACGACATCCTCCAGAGAACCATGGGAGCTGAGAGTTTTTAGCAGACCCCTGTTTCCCTCAGAGAGCTGTAATTCCCGGAATGGTTTAACAACCAATTCCTCTCCACAGGGAACTCTTGAAATTGTAGTTCTGGGAGGGAAACAGCGGTGTCTTAACAAATATCAGCATCTTTAGCAAATGACAGCTCCCAGGCTTCTCTGGGGGAAGCCATGACTGGTATTCACAGAATCACAGAATCATAAAATTGTAGAGTTGGAAGGGACCCCAAGGGTCATCTAGTCCAACCCCATGCAATACAGGAATCTTTTGCCCAACGTGGGGCTTGAACCCACAACCCTGAGATTAAGAATCTCGTGCTTTACCAACTGAGCTATCCCAAGTCTATAGTGCTTTAAATGTATGATGGGAACGTGGTCTCTGTGGACCTTTCACAGCAGCTTGGGGTACCAAGAGAGAGTTTAGCCAGTGGCAGAAACATGGTTAGGGTCCGCTTTCCCTAAAATCTCATTTTGCAGAAGCAAAGGCAAAAGATTGATTGGCAAATTGCGAGGGATGAGGGAAGCTGGAGTCCACCAGGAGTGGCAAAGGACTTCCTTCCCTGGTGTGGAGCAACGTGAGTGAGGATGTAGCTAACTTCTCAGATGTGGGATTCTGGGTTAAAAGAAAACCACTCTGGAGCCTTCCCATGCCTTGTTTTTCTGGACCAGGATCTCGCCACATCACTAGCACCTGCTAGGTCTCTTTTACTTATCGCTTCAATTGCAGAACACACATCATACTGGCTTCCCCAACCTGCCTAGCTTTTAAGTAATGTGTTCGTGTCCCACTCTATGATCTATAAGGCACGTGGAGATTTTTTTCTCTTGAAAAGTGATGCTTCCTCCTGCTCGCTTTGAGTAAATCATTCGGCGCCGAGTGCCAAGAAGCAACCCAAATTGCTTCTTTGCACAGACGACATCTGTGCAGCAAGAACTGCAACAGGAAATTGGCCCAATGGACATTTGGCCCAAGACAATTCCATTTCAAATATGAATTAATTATTGTGGATTATTTTTCTTTGCCTTCCTTCAGAGATTTTAGGGCTATCGTACATGGTTTTCTTCTCCCCACCACACTCCCATTTTTATCCTCAAAACAACTCAGTGAGGTAGGCCAGGCTGAGGGATGGTGGGTGGTCTTGGCTCATCATTTTGTATTGTGCTAAACTGTTTCACAGTCAGGTCTTTGAGGGTCTCAAAGAGTGTCTTAGTTGGGCTCAGTAGGGGAATTGAGAATGACTTAGTTGTGAACGTCCACCCATCATTTTATTTCTGTGCCACCTTTCCAAAGTTAAAAGCGTCTTACAACATGTAGAAAGAAATACATAGCTACAAACATAACAAAAATAGTCATAAACAAAACATTTAAAAAGTACACAACCAATTTGAACAATTTCAACATAAATCGTAGGATTCAAAATAAAGATACCAAAAATTAACAGCATCCCCCGAACCCCTAAACAATACCCCAGCCCAAGATTTTGAGAAAGGACCTGCAGATGGGGGAGACAGATTGAAACAGCCATGTGATGGGGGGAGAAGGTTTTTAACCCTCCCCCCTTGTTATTTTCCCAGTAAACACAGTCCCCCCCCCCAGCTGCTATTTGTGTCCATGACAACGGGAGCTTTCCTTGCAATGCAAATAAGATCTTCAGAGGACCAATTTCCCACAGGACTGTAGTGAGGACACTGGATGTATAGGATATCTGGTATCGGTCTGGTATATGTTGCTGGACCATGGCACAGGTCAGTCTCCTCCTCACAACCTTAGCTGTTATAATGGGACTCTCAAGGATGATGGAGGACAGCAAGGGGTGGAGGTCAGTGCAAGGAACCAGAGCAGCAGGACCCATCACTAGAGGGCCCCCTATCTCCCCATACACAGCAGGTTCTGAGGCCTAGGGAACAGCAGGAGGAGCACTCTAGGAAACTGAGGCAGGCAATGGCCCACAGCCCAGCTCTCTAACTGGCCAGGTGTCTTCCTTCCTTTGGCTCCCAGTACATTTCCGAGCACAATTCAAAGTGTTGGTGCTGACCTTGAAAGCCCTAAATGGCCTCGGTCCAGTATACCTGAAGGAACGTCTCCACCCCCTTCAGCTCAGTCCGGACACTGAGGTCCAGCGATGAGGGCCTTCTGGCGGTTCCCTCACTGTGAGAAGCCAAGTTACAGGGAACCAGGCAGAGGGCCTTCTCGGTAGTGGTGCCCACCCTGTGGAACGCCCTCCCACCAGATGTCAAAGAGAAAATCGATTACCAGACTTTTAGAAAACATCTGAAGGCAGCCCTCTTTAGGGAAGCTTTTAATGTTTAACAGACTACTGTATTTTAATACTTTGTTGGAAGCCGCCCACAGTGGCTGGGGAAACCCAGCCAGATGGGCGGGGTATAAATAATAGATTATTATTATTATTATTATTATTATTATTATTATTTGTACTAGGGATGGGGAATATGTCACTAAGGATGGAATTTTCTAAATATACTTGATATCGAGGACAGGCTTCAACCCACCCCGCCCCCAAATCCCTGTCTTGCTGCTTAATCTCAACAAGAGAGTCCCCATCCGGTTTACTAAAAATACAAACAATTATTGCGTATTATTTTCATTATTATACATATAATGCTCTATGCCTATTAGGATCAAGGGTTCAGATAGGGTCCTGATTCAATCTGGATCAGTACGGACCTGGTTTAACCAGATTCAGACCCCCAAATCTGAATCAAAATTCGGCGATCCCAATCTTCAGTGGTCAGGACCACCTCGGATTACAGGGGAATCTTCCCGCTGTGTGCAAGAGAAATTTTGAGGTTGTCCCACGAAACTTAAGAAGACGCAGCGCCGCATTTGGAAGCGTACAATATTTTTGAAAAGGAAAAGAAAAAAGAGGGGAAAGTGAGAAAGAAAAAGAAGGACTAAGGGATTTTGTGAGGCAAAGGCCTCCAGGGACCATAGAATGTGTTCCCCCATAAAAAGCAACATTGACACACAACTCCCGGTCAGGGCCGGCCCAGGGCATTTTGCCACCTGAGGCAAAACTGAAAATAACACCCTGCCCAATCTCCTCCTCTACAAGTCCTGCACTGCCACAGCCAGCTCCTCCTCCTGCTGCTGCCCAAGGAGACTGGGGATGGGCAGGGAAGGCCTGGTGCGCTGGCAGAGGAGAAAAAGGAGGATGGAGAAGGGCAGGTGGTGGAGGAGGAGACAGTCCAGAAGTCCAAGAGGCAGTAAGTGCCAAGCTTCTCAGAGGCTGAATCTGCTACCCCTCCCAGCTACCAGGAGCCTGCTGCCTGGGGCGAAGGCTTCACCAAGCCCCACAGGTGGTCCGGCCCTGCTCCCCGCGCATAGAAAGCAGTTCCCAACTTCTGTGTGCAGGCAGCCTTTCCGTGGTGAGGCAGTTATGGTGGAAGCATCCCTCGCCTGATTGCTATCTGCACAGACGGCTTAGCCATATTCGAAGAACAGCTGATAAAGCTATTGGACGTGGCTGAGATGGGAACGTTAACGTGTTTAATTAGAGGGAAACCATTAGTGACATTTGTTAAGGATTGGACATTTCTTATGGACTTTTTGCATGTGAAAAGAGAAAATGAACTTGTAATATCTCTATTTGAAGATTGGAAACATACTAGCTTATAGCAGATAGAATGGTTGGATCTTAAGGAATGAATATCATATGTAGCGGCAGCAAAGAGAGCCAGAAGTCCTTTTATTTTTCTTCTTCTTCCTTGTTTTGTTTTTTTTCCATTCTTTTCCTTTTTTCTCGCTTTCTCTTTCTTTAGCTTTCTCCTTTTCTTATCTTTCCTTCCTTCTGACTTTGTTCTCTTTCAAGACTAAGCAGCTGTTTTATCTCAGCATATTATAAAAAGGAGGCATCCTTTACCTGCAAAGTGGCCAATTTCTAGGTAGGTTGCACAGCATGAGATTTCGGAAGGTGCTGTTCAGCACCAAGGAGAGCTGCACAAACGTTCAGCTTTCGGGTAGCCAAGTCCAGCCACTGAATCTGAACACAGGCCGCCGCTACCACCACCAAAACCTCCAAACAAAATGCTCTCTCTCCCTCTCCTTTTCAGGGGTTACCTCTTCGCAGGCCTAGAGTTTGGGGCCGAATGCTATTGTGGCCACAAGATCCAAGCGGCGAACGTCAGTGATTCAGAATGCAACATGGAGTGTAAGGGAGAAAAGAGCAACATTTGTGGTGGGGTGAACCGACTCTCAATCTACCGCCTGGAGTTGGCCCAAGAGTCTGCAAGGAGGTGTAAGTATTGACTCATTTGGGATCGAGAACTAGGGCGGCCCAAGGGAGCAGAGCCTGGGGCTGATGGCATTGAGATCAACGTGTCCTAATAGCTCGAGGGAAGTAACTCTGATGCTGTTGGCTATTAGGGATGTGCAGGTGGAGCTGTGGGACGCAGGTGGCGCTGCGGGTTACACCACAGAGCCTAGGACTTGCCGATCAGAAGGTCGGCGGTTCGAATCCCTGCGACGGGGTGAGCTCCCGTTGCTTGGTCCCTGCTCATGCCAACCTAGCAGTTCGAAAGCACATCAAAGTGCAAGTAGATAAATAGGTACCGCTCCGGCGGGAAGGTAAACGGCATTTCCGTGCGCTGCTCTGGTTCTCCAGAAGCGGCTTAGTCATGCTGGCCACATGACCCAGAAGCTGTATGCCGGCTCCCTCGGCCAATAAAGTGAGATGAGCGCCGCAACCCCAGAGTCGGCCACGACTGGACCTAATGGTCAGGGGTACCTTTACCTTTACCTTTAGGCATGTGTCTTGCAGAACACTAGACCATGGGTCCCCAAACTAAGGCCCGCGGGCTGTATAAGGCCTGAGGGACTTGTTTATGCGGCCCGCGGCAACCCCCGCTGCTTGCTGCCACCACCCGCTCTCACTAGCGCTGCGCTTCGTGGCTGCCCACTTTCGGGTCAGAGGAGCACCGGAAATAGCTTGTGCGTTATTTGCGCATGCGCAAGCGTCATTTCCGGTGCACATCCAGGTCTGAGGAGGCCCGTGCACATGCGAACAAGCTATTTCTGGTGCTCCTCCGACCCGGAAGTGCGCCAGAAATAGCGTGTGCACATGCGTATGGGCATGCGCTCCCCCACCCTCTGGCCTGCCACGCAGTCGGCACTGGAGACACCAGCCCAAGGCGCGGTAGGTTTGCTGACCCCTGCACTAGACCCTCCGCCCTGTACCCTCACTATAGCTGCAGCTGCTACATACTCTCTGGTAATTTTACTAGGCTGTTAAAAAAAAAAGGTAAAGGACCCCATGACGGTTAAGTCCAGTCAAGGCGACAATGGGGTTGTGGCGCTCCTCTCACTTTCAGGCCAAGGGAGCCAATGTTGTCCACAGACAGCTTTCCAGGTCATGTGGCCAGCAAGACTAAACCGCTTCTGGCACAACAGAACACCGTGATGGAAACTAGAGCGCACGGAAACACTGTTTACCTTCCTGCCGGAGTGGTACCTATTTATCTACTTGCACTTTGACGTGCTTTCAAACTGCTAGGTTGGCAGGAGCAGGGACCGAGCAACGGGAGCTCACCCCATCGTGGGGATTCAAACCGCCAACCTTCTGATTGGCAAGCCCAAGAGGGTCATTGTTTAAGACCACAGTGCCACCCGCATCGCTTACCTTACCGTTACTAGGCTGTAGTTAAACTATGGAACTTGCTCCCCCAGGAGTGCATAGCGATGGCTCTATGTTCTGCCTCCATGGTTGGAGACAGTTAAGCTTCTGATTACCAGTTGCTGTAAATCATAGGCAAGAAGAAAACTCTTGTGCCTGGATCCTGCTTGCTAGTTTCCTACATGCACCAGGCTGGCCACTGTGGGAACAGGATGCTGGACTTGATGGGCCTGATCCAGCTGGCTCTGTGTTCTTATTTTCACAAGGAAAAGCAATGACAAACCTAGACAGCATCTTAAAAAGCAGAGACATCACCTTGCCAACAAAGGTCCGTGTAGTTAAAGCTATGGTTTTCCCAGTAGTGATGTATGGAAGTGAAAGCTGGACCATAAAGAAGGCTGATCGTCGAAGAATTGATGCTTTTGAATTATGGTGCTGGAGGAGACTCTTGAGAGTCCCATGGACTGCAAGAAGATCAAACCGTCTCCATTCTGAAGGAAATCAGCCCTGAGTGCTCACTGGAAGGACAGATCCTGAAGCTGAGGCTCCAATACTTTGGCCACCTCATGAGAAGAGAAGACTCCTGGAAAAGCCCCTGATGTTGGGAAAGATGGAGGGCACAAGGAGAAGGGGACGAGAGAGGACGAGATGGTTGGACAGTGTTCTCGAAGCTACCAGCATGAGTTTGACCAAACTGCAGGAGGCAGTGGAAGACAGGAGTGCCTGGCATACTCTGGTCCATGGGGTCACGAAGAGTCGGACACGACTAAACGACTAAACAACAACAACAAGAAAGCTTGGGTTTCAAAACCAAAGCTGAGGTCCTTTGGATGCTGCGCCATGATCTCAAATCCTACACGTGAGGTGCATTTGTGAACACTGGCGATCTACAGCCTTGGAGAGTCTGGATTGGAAAATGTGAAGGTGTTTGTGGGAGGGAAGGAATCCCTCCCAGAGCACTCTCAGCAGACCAATTGAGTGCAATGCAGGGAAAGGAAGGCCTAGGTGCTTGAGCTGCCTTAATGAGTTTGAAATGGGCTTTTGATCTCTTCCCTGCTCTCAAAGGCTTTTCTGCATCTCGCCTCTAATTTTGCATTCATTGCGTTCCTCCCTGTCTTCTGTAGTTAAGAAGGTGGGCCGGGTGGCTCATTAGCTGGTGCTTAAATGTCAAAAGCAGAGAGGAGAATCCAGGCAGGCAGGGGAAGGGAAGAGATTATGGGGGAACCTTGGTGGGCCGTGGGGCAGCGAGATCAAGCTGGCAACCTGCAGGAGGAAGCACAATTGCCCATAGCAAGCCTGCGAAGGAAAAGGCTATAAAGTGTTTTTGCAGTGCCTTTCCTACTTCCTGTGCGCCAGGGGATGGACGCCTCTTCCAACACCAGAGAGAGAGAGAGAGAGAGAGAGAGAGAGAGAGCGCTAATCAGAAAATGATGGGGGAATGGCATTTTCTGCATTCCCCTTTGGTGGAAAGAGGAACCTGGCTCTCACCCTCAGTTTGCCTGGCAGTCTGGCACTCGCTTCACACATGGAATGTGAGGGCAGGCAAAGGCACTGGGTGCATGGAGCACTCCGGCTGCAGCGACCCTCCAATCCCATTCTTGGAAGCACCGTCGATCCTGCTAATTGGGGTTTTTTAACTGGAGTAAACTACAGGCGCATGCTAGAGATGAGAAACTCCGAAAACTAACCCAGCTACAAGGATTTAAAAGGTTTGGATTGAGAGGGGATTTCATTCAGTGAAAGAGACGGTGCGGTTTTTCTCTACGTTTATGATATGGCAACCCTCCCTGGAATGCAATCTACACGTACAAGTGAGAAAGGAAGAAATTGGAATGTAAATTTGGAATTTAACAAAACTGGAACTGCGTGCGTGAAAGAAAGGAACTGAGAGGGAGGGGGGGAACGCTATGCTTTGAAAATATGCAGCAAAGTCCTCCCAAACCTCCGTTATTCATAAAGGAGTGTGTTTGAGATAAGGACAATTGGCCATAAATCAGTGGCAGGGAAGAAAGGAGTCTACCAGCTGTGGGAATAGAAGCTTTCGGATTAACTATTTGCAGTCTGGATTCAGACTGTTCTTCCTAGGCTGGAGAAATGGCGAAGATGGCTTGTTTACTGGAAGCCAAATCACAGGATGAAGTGATGCATTGACTTTTGGAAACTGTGAGATAACCGCTTCTCCCAAGGTGTGGCGGGAACCATCAAAAGTTGTAGGAAGGAAAGATAAAACACCATATATAGATGGGGAAACATCATGGGGGGGGACTTGTCATGTGCAGGAAAGAATAAGGATTACAGAGTTCCTCACTTGAAACTTTATAAATTACCTGACATAACAACACGAACGAAACCACAATATTGTAGCTGTCATATAAGGGGTTATTATATCTGAATGGAATACAATGGAAATTATTAAGATTTTGGAATGCAGAAAAAATGTAGAAGAATGAAGCCATCAGATCTAACAGCAACTCTTCACAGTGTTTTGCAACAAAAGCCCCTGCGTTTTGCACCCCCAGTTTCATGAGATCTCTGACAGTGGTGGTAGTTTTGGGGATCATTCTGAGTTTGCATGATTTTGCCTTTAAGTGCAACCCCTGGAAGCATAAGGCATACATAAGTTGCAGTCTTACTGTACAGTTACAAGGGTTGATGCTGGAGGAATAAGTTGTCTTTCTATCTATCGACCCCCCACTGGTTCAGGTAACCAACAACAAGTGTTGTTGTGATACACACACACACACACACACACACACACACACACACACACACACCAGTGCTTTTCAAATTCAAAAATCGAAAGAGGAGCCCATTGGGTCTAACCTTAGTGACTGTTAACGATTGGTGGCCAGTGGCCATGAGAGATTAATTTTAGCTTTTGATTTGTGCAGAGTTCGTGAGAACTGTAGAATTCCCTCGAGAGAGAGCTAAAGAGGGAGAGATCAATATTGGAGAGCTGTGGTTTGGCATAAAAGCGGCGAAACAGGAGCTATGGCAGCTTGCTTAGAAATATTGCGGATGTTGGTGACAGATGCAATTTTCCAAATGACAGGAATAAGAGTTTCCATTGGCTTCATGGCTTATAGCGCTGTTAAAGAACTTGGACAAATAAACTGGAAGGGAGTCGGTTTTTTCTTCATTATATTTATTTATTTTCTATACTAAAATTAATATTGCTTAAAATATAAATATAAATTAAATCCCCCATTAACTATGATGATAATGATGATGATTATGATGATTATAATAATTTTATTGTTTCCCCAGCCACTCTGAGCGACTTCCAGCAATATATATATATATATATATATATATATATATATATATAGTCTGTGTGTGTGTGTGTCAGGGAGATAAAGAAACATATATATGTCAGACATAAAAAACTTCCCTGAACAGGGCAGCCTTCAGATGTTTTCTAAAAGTTGTGTAATTCTTTATCTCCCTGACATCTGGTGGGAGGATGTTCCACAGGGCAGCCACCAATACCGAGAAGGCCCTCTGCCTGGTTCCCTGTAACTTGGCTTCTCGCAGCAAGGGAAATGCCAGAAGGCCCTCCGTGCTGGACCTCAGTGTCAGGGCTGAACGATGGAGGTGGAGATGCTCCTTCAGGTATACTGGGCTGAGGCCATTGAGGGCTTTCAAGGTCAGCACCAACACTTTGAATTGTGCTTTTAGGACTACTATTATAAGGTCTCGGCTGCCACTCCCAGCTGCTGCATTCTGGATTAGTTGTAGTTTCCGAGTCACCTTCAAAGGTAGCCTTTGAACAGTATTTCAGGAGTGCCTGTTGCAGCCCAGAAATCAGTAGAAACCCCAGAATATTGTGTGTGTTTTTAAAAAACCAAATAGTGTCATTTGTGAGTTTTGACCATCACACCAAAAAAATGAGTGAAGTCATGCCACAGACTCATTTTTCCGTTGTCTTAAATCAAAACAGCACCCAGAACCCAAACTTTTCTACAGTGACTCTCTGCTTGTGGAATGACCTCCTCAGGAAGACTCCTTCATTATAAATCTTTAGGCAACAGGCAAAAACATTACTCTTCTCCCAGGCCTTTAATTAAACAATTAATTAAACGGGGGGGGGTATTGTATTTGGTTTTTTTTACCATGTTTTGTATTCTTTTGTTTTTATATTGTAAACCACCCTGTGATCCTCAAATGAAGGGCAGTATAGAAATTCAATAAAGAAGAATAAAAAAAATTAACAAATACCTTCACCCCACCTCCATACCCAGTTTGGTGATGATATATTGAGAGTTGGCCAAACCTATGCCAAAGGACGGGTGAAGTCAAGCCAAACTCACGTTTTGGTCCGCCATCTTGATTCAAAATGGCACCCAAATATTGACAAAGTCCATTGCCTCCAGCTTGGGAATGCTTGCGCCAAGTCTGACAATGATATCGCTATTCTGCCTTGGTCAGGCGCTGTCTGGCATCCTGGTGTTCTGGGCACCACAATCTAAGAAGGATGTTGACAAGCTGGCGAGTGTGCAGAGGTGGGCAACCAAGATGATCAAGGGTCTGGAAACCAAGCCCTATGAGGAATGGCTGAAGGAGCTGGCCATGTTTAGCCTGGAAAAGAGGAGACTGCGAGGAGATATGAGAGCCATCTTCAAATATCTGAAAAGCTGTCATATGGAAGTTGAAGCAAAGTTGTTTTCTGCTTCTCAGGAGAGGAGAACCCAAACAAATGTAATCAAAGGGCAAGAAAGGAGATTTCAACTGAACATTAGGAAGAACATTCTGAGTGTCGGAGCTGTTCGATTCTACGATTCCATGCTTTCAGTGGCGACTGAACCTATGCCCCCAAATGGATGAAGCCATGCCAAAGAAATGTTTCAAGCCATCAGCTTGTTTCAAAATGACTCCTGGCATCCAAACATCGATTATGACTGCCGTCCCCACCTTGGGAAGCTTTGTGCTAAGTTTGGCAATGATAACTTGAGAGGCAGCCAAACCTAAAGAGAACAGATGGACAAAACGTTTTCCAAAAATTTATAGTAGATAATACTAATTTTTCTTTCACATCATTCTTTTTCTTCTTCTATCTCCTATGCCTGGAGCTGCCCAGGATTTTTTAGAAACTAAAAAATATTGTGTTTTTAAGTGGACGATGTAATTTGTGAGTTCCACCACACCAAAAATGGAGTAAAGTCATATCAAAGCCACATTTCGGTCTGCCATCTTGAGTCAAAATACCACCTGGTGTCCAAACATCAACATAGACCCCCATCCTCAGCTCTGGGACCATCATGCTGACTTTGTTGATATCTCAAGAGGTGGTTGAAACCTTGTGGGCAGTTCACACCAAAAGGATGTTTTGGATCACGGTCTTGATTCAAAATGGTGCCTGTTGTCCAAACAGTCACGAAGCCTGCTATCTCACCTCAGGAACTATTGTGCTAGGTTTGGTGACAATATCTCAAGAGGTGGTGAAACCTATGTCAAAAAATGGATGAAATCACCTCAAAGTCATGTTTTGGTCCACCATTTTGATTAAAATGTCAGCCAATGTCCAAACAGCAACAGAGATTACTGCCCCCCCTCATCTACCCTCATACTAAGTTTGGGGAAGATATCTCAAGATATACAGGACACAGAGAAACTGCATTCCAAAATCTATGTTGTTGTTGTTGGTGGTGGTGTTTAGTCGTTTAGTTGTGTCCGACTCTTCGTGACCCCATGGACCAGAGTATGCCAGGCACTCCTGTCTCCCACAGCCTCCCGCAATTTGGTCAAACTCATGCTGGTAGCTTCGAGAACACTGTCCAACCATCTTGTCCTCTGTCGTCCCCTTCTCCTTGTGCCCTCCATCTTGCCCAACATCAGGGTCTTTTCCAGGGAGTCTTCTCTTCTCATGAGGTGGCCAAAGTATTGGAGCCTCAGCTTCAGGATCTGTCCTTCCAGTGAGCACTCAGGGCTGATTTCCTTCAGAATGGATAGGTTTGTTCTTCTTGCAGTCCATGGGATTCTCAAGAGTCTCCTCCAGCACCATAATTCAAAAGCATCAATTCTTCGGCGATTAGCCTTCTTTATGGTCCAGCTCTCACTTCCATACATCACTACTGGGAAAACCATAGCTTTAACTATACGGACCTTTGTTGGCAAGGTGATGTCTCTGCTTTTTAAGATGCTTCAAAATCAAAATGACTCAGTGAATCAGATCCACATTCCGTTTTCTTTAATTCATCTAACCCTTCTTCAGTTGATCCTATTTCACCTTTTAAAAGACCAAACCATTTTATATGGAGTTGGAACTGTTCTACCAGATTCCTGGCTATTTTAAAAATCAACAGATGCCAGAGTGCCAAAAACTGTCTGACTTTCTTTGATCTCTCATTTGAAGAAAGCTATTTGCCAATCTTTACAGAACCAGTATTCTAGATTCGTGAGCTTTAATTATTATTATTTTGAATGGGGTCAATTTTCAACATATTAGTACATTTTAAAAGACCAGAAAAATGGTAATTGAAAAGCTCTCTTATCAGTGGATCAATAAATCCTAGGTAATTTTTAAAAAACAAAACAAAACCAGAAATTAACCTACGATGCAATCCTTTGGTGTCTGCCTACATCCCAGTAACCCATAGGATTTTTCACATCTCCCTCTAGAGATGTGCAGTGACCCAAATATTCACATTGTAGCTGCATTTGTAGCATCTGAAGGAAGCCTAATCTGTTTTGGATCTGCTCTGTCATTCCAGTTTGAGTGGGCATTTGGGTTAAATCTGCAAAGAGGACTGTTCAAATATTATTTCAGGAAGCCTTGATACAGATGGTTTGGTTCACGCATGAATCAGTGGCTTGGTTTGTAGCTCCTAGGAAAGGCAGTCCAGATGTTTTGGACCACAACTCCCATCAGTCAGGGAGGATGGGAGTTGTAGTTCAGCAACATCTGGAAGACAGCACATTGACCACCCCTGCCCAACACTGGCACATGGGCACCATAGTCCTGTTTGGGTTGGAAGAAACGGGGAGTGCCAAGAGGTATTCTGAAACACAGGACTAAAGGTTGCCCACCCATGGCCCACAAGTGGGTGGGTGGGGAACTCTGTCAGGGAGGGAATGGTTGGCTTTGTCACATGATCTCCTGGTTGGTTTCAAATGTATTTTTTGTATGTTGCGATGGTGGATGTGGGGCCCAATGCTTGACCACATAACACCGGTCTTGAAAGATCTACATTGGCTCCCAGTACATTTCTGAGCACAATTCAAAGTGTTGGTGTTGACCTTTAAAGCCCTAAATGGCCTCGGTCCAGTATATCTGAAGGAGCGTCTCCACCCCCACCGTTCTACCAGGACACTGAGGTCCAGCGCCGAGGGCCTTCTGGAAGTTCCCTCATTGCGAGAAGCCAAGTTACAGGGAACCAGGCAGAGGGCCTTCTCTGTAGTGGCACCTGCCTTGTGGAATGCCCTCCCACCAGATGTCAAAGAGAACAACAACTACCAGACTTTTAGAAGACATCTGAAGGCAGCCCTGTTTAGGGAAACTTAATGTTTGATGCATTACCCTATTTTAATATTTTGTTGAAAGCTGCCCAGAGTGGCTGGGGAAGCCCAGCCAGATGGGTGGGGTATAAATAATAAATTATTATTATTATTATTATTATTATTATTATTATTATTATTATTATTACTATTGAGAAACACAACTTCGAAGTCCCCCAAGAGCCTTGCTGGATCAGGCCCATGGCTTTTCTCCAGCCAGAACTCAGTTCCAGCACCTCTGAGGTGGGCACCATTGCCATTACAGTGGTACCTCTGGTTACATACTTAATTTGTTCTGGAGGTCCGTTCTTAACCTGAAACTGTTCTTAACCTGAAGCACCACTTTAGCTAATGGGGCCTTCCGCTGCTGCTGCGCTGCTGCTGCACGATTTCTGCTCTCACCCTAAGGCAAAGTTCTTAACCCGAGGTACTATTTCTGGGTTAGCGGAGTCTGTAACCTGAAGTGTATGTAACCTGAAGCGTATGTAACCCGAGGTACCACTGTATAAGAGAACAAAGGAAGCGTTCATGGTGAGTTCCAGCACCTCTTTTCCTAGAAATGATGATCTGGGCTGAGCTAGATGATCAGTCTCAGAAATCCTAGAAATCCTGTTCAAACACTCAATTTCAAAGGACGCTTGCCAGGACAGTTTGGGAATCCTGCAGGATCATCTGTGCCTTTGACTTTGGGAGTTCAGCCATTAAATACTTCCTTCCTTCCACTTTTCTCTCCTCTCCCGGTTAGATGGCAGCGCCATATTCCGCGGATGCTTCCGCCGGCCAGATAACATCTCCTTGGCTTTGCCGGTGAGCAGGGTCATGAGAAACATGTCTGTGGACCGGTGCGTTGACTTCTGCACGGGAAAGGTAAGCTAGCCAAGAGATGAAGGATGCTGTGCCCCAACGTCCTAAGCTTGGGTCACAAGCCCTCCAGTGTGACCAAGGATTGGAACCCAAGGGGTATGATCTTGCAGATAGAAGGAGGAGACTGTCAATGATTGGCTGCATACAAAGGAGGGAGCCACGAGCTTAGGAACCCCCAAGGGGAGAAGTCTCAGAGGCAGGATTTAGGTTCAACTCAAAATAGTCCTTGGGGGTCTTTTGAGCTTTATTTACAATCAAATCATTTCTCAGTAAAGCATCATTCATCCACCATCTAAAAGAACCCTGTAGAGACAATTTTAATTCTGTCAACACCGCATTATGATCAAAACAAGTCCTTGAGCGAATCTCAGATTTAGTCACTCTTGGGTCTTTAGTTAACCATATATAGTCCAGGCGACTGCACGATAGATTTGTATCTGCAAAAAATGTAAAATCTTTCTCCATTGGATTCCTCAATCTCCATATGTCTATCAGGTCAAAACTGTCCACCATCTCGAAAAACGTCTTTGGTAGCCTCCCGTCATTAGTAAGTTTTTGCCTTTGGTTTCTATCCATCATTGTTAAGACAACGCCGTTCAAATCCCCCATCAAGACAATTTTGTAATCCAAATAGTCCATAAGAGTGGCCTGTAGGTTTTTTAAAAATTCTGACCTGCCCTCATTTGGTGCATAGATTCCAAGCACCTAAAGCTTTTCACCTTGTACTGTCAATTCCACTGCAACATATCTTCCAGCAACATCCTTGAAGATCGTTTTGGGACTGAATTTCTCTTTCCCATAAATCACAAGGGGAGAAGAAATAATAGAAACTGTGAGAGTGATCAGGAGACAGCAAATCCTATTGAACTCAGTAGGATTTAGCTCTGAGTAAAATGCTTAGGATTGCCATGTAAGGCTGCCCAGTCTTGACCCAGCTACTTGGGAGCAAGCATCATTGAATACAGTGGGACTTCCTTCTGAGTAGACAGTGTAAGTCTCCATTTACATCAAAGGAATCAACACTCCCTGCATTTCCTAAGAAACAGCTGGCTGTGGAAGCATGGCAGTTGAAAATATAAAGTGGATTGGTGACCTTTTCCTTCAAAATTATAGGAAGACCTTCACAGTTTCCTTCATTCTGGTGCAGGTATTCTCTCTCTCACACACACCCCAGTAGAAACAGGACTCTGTTTTTGCACCTACACACACCGCTTTTGATTGTTCTCCAAGGAAACCAGAAAAAGGAAAACCGAGGTAGCTTTCGCAATTCCAGGACTATCCCTGGCAAATTGGAAGATGTTGTAAACAAAAATCTGCCCCTTTCCCTTATGGGATATCCAAGAGCCCATATAGAGTCCCTATTGGTAGGAGAGAATAACAGAGGCCAACCAGAGAATATTGAGAAGCAAAGCAGATAGTAAGCTTGATCTTTATTGAACTGTTGCAACAGGGCACTCCCCTCACACACAGTAAAGGAGGAGGAAGCCAGAACAATGGCACGCAAGGCCTTATAAAGACTTTTGAAATTGCCACCCTGTAGATCAAGACCACCCCCCAGAAACATCATACATACATCCCAGAAGGGGTGTAACCTAAGACCACCCCTCAGATACATCATACCTACATCACAGAAAAGGCGGTCTTAAAACAGAAATTTGAATGTTGGTTTTCTCCCGTCCTTGTTTATCTACTGTCTGGCAGGTTACTTGATTGGATTGCCTGGGGAGCCTGGCCATTCTTTTGTAGTGATAAATACTTTGTTCCTGGGCCAGGCCACAGGCTCACACCCTATTCATATCTTAAATGTGCCCTTAAGACAGGATTTGTGAGGAAAGAGACAATGGGGAGGTTTCCCACTTTGACCTTGTAGAGAAAACATTTACTCAGTTTAGGAATCAAAATGGTTCCAAGTTGGTCTTCCTGTGCTGATCTATGTATGTGCTGTTATGAACATTACCATATATCTAAGACCTCAAAATTCCTATCACAGAGACTTGGAGAATATGAGCTTCATGGCCAAATGGGGATTCGAACCCTGATCTCCCACACCCCACCATGGACTATCTCTGCTTTCTTACGGCACACAGTTTGGGCCTTGCCCCTGCTGTTGTCAGCCAGCTCTCTGAGGCGGCAACACAAACTCATTGTGGCGTGCCCTTTGATTAACCCAGCCTTGCTGCCTTCCTGGGTATTAAATTGCCTGTCAGGCCTCACCACGGCCTTCATAACTCTGCGCTTTAAGGCTCAAATGAGGGCACGGATGTCGTACTCCATGGGCTTTTAAGCGGCCTTCGTCCAGGTGACAAACTCGCGCATTATCCAACTGCCACTGGGCCGTGATTTTGAAAGGGGTGCCATAAGCCTGGCTGTATAACTCTTGACTGTAGTAAATAACTCCCTGACGGCAACAGCAATTTCCACTCCACTGCTTTGGGAAGGGAGAGATGAGGATATCCCCAACTCAGCTGCGCAGAAGTGGGGAAAGAAATTTGGTTTGCATTTGGAATGTTTGCAACGCGTTACCCAGTCAACAAATGTATGCAAAGAAGGAAGATGGGGTACACAAAAAGTGTACGTTTGTGAAAATTACCTTCAAAAATGCATTACTTATAGGGGGATGTCTTTCAAAAATGCATCTACAGTGGTACCTCGCAAGACGAATGCCTTGCAAGACGGAAAACTCGCAAAACGAAAGGGTTTTTGGTTTTTTGAGTTGCTTCGCAAGACGATTTTCCCTATGGGCTTGCTTCGCAAGACGGAAACGTCTTGCAAGTTTGTTTCCTTTTTCTTAAAACCGTTAATACAGTTGCGACTTGACTTCGAGGAGCAACTCATAGAATGCGGTGTGGTAGCCTTTTTTGAGATTTTTGAAGACTTTGGTGATTTTTGAAGCTTTTCCAAAACTTTTCCGACACCGTGCTTCGCAAGACGAAAAAAACCGCAAGACGAAAAAGCTCGCGGAACAAATTAATTTCGTCTTGCGAGGCACCACTGTATTAGGGGAAATTGCGTGCAAAAAATATGCACATATCCGGAGGGAATGTGCAGGGAAGCAACCCTGTGAAATATACATATAATTTATTTTTTCCATAAAATTTATATACCTCTTGATTGCTAAAAAAAACCCAAGTGACTTACAAAAGGAAGAAAACTATCAAATAATCGGTACAGTTAAAAGCCACTATTTCTAAGAAGATAATTAAAATGAATGATAATCTAAAAACAGATCAAAACACCCATAGGCATTCAGCATGTCCAAGTAGTCTCGTCTAAACCGAAATGTTTTTATCAGGCGCTGAAAAGAGTAGTTGCTGATCTCTAAACAGGGGTGTTATATGGTCTCGCTCTTGTCAGAAACTGTATTGCAGCATTCTGCAGCCTCGGTTCAATTGCAGTTGAAGCCTCACATAGAATGCATTGGTAGGGATGTCTTAGAGCAACAGATGGAAAGTAACCCTAAATTATTCAGTTTAGTTTCACAGCTTAGCGGAGATTCGAACCAAGGACTCCACAGCTGAGCCCAACACGATGAGGACCTCCAGATGTTGCTGTGGCCTTCCTTTTTTCATATTTTATTTTTAATTTTCAATAACTTAACAATTTAACATCCAAATTACTTACTTATTCATCACTTCTAGACCAGGGGTCAGCAACCTAAGGCCCATGGGCCGAAAGCGGCCCACAGAGGTCATTTGACTGGCCCACGAGCCGCACCCGAACCAAGCCGCCCACTTGCCTGCTGCGCTAAACCGGCGCAGCGCAGCGCGGGGACTCGCTTCTGCAGCACCCAAAATCACATTTGCACAGACGCTGAAAATCCATGCTTGCGCACTCACGTGCGCACACAATCCAGCCCATTGAGGGCTCTCCACAGGACCGATCTGGCCCAGGCAAGTTAAACCATGCTGACCCCTGTTCTAGACTTCACACCCCCACCCACCCACACGGTTTCCAATTTCTCCCCCTTTTTACCTTATACAGCTTTAGTTTTCCATTCAGTTACAAGTCCATTGATAATACTAATCCACATTACTTCATAGATGCTGTGTCAATCCTGCTAATGTTTTTAAGTCTTCACAGTGGACCTTAACAAAATAAAAAAAATCCTTCCAGTAGCACCTTAGAGACCAACTAAGCTTGTTATTGGTATGAGCTTTCGGGTGCATGCACACTATCAGCCAACCTAGCAGTTCGAAAGCACTTCAAAGTGCAAGTAGATAAATAGGTACCGCTCCGGCGGGAAGGTAAACGGCGTTTCCGTGCGCTGCTCTGGTTCGCCAGAAGCGGCTTAGTCATGCTGGCCACATGACCCGGAAGCTGTATGCCGGCTCCCTCGGCCAATAAAGCGAGATGAGCACCGCAACCCCAGAGTCGGTCATGACTGGACCTAATGGTCAGGGGTCCCTTTACCTTTTTAAGGTGCTGCTGGAAGGAATTTTATTATTTTGTTTCGAATATGGCAGACCAACATGGCTACCTACCTGTAAGTGGACCTTAAGATATTCTATATATTCAGTCCAGTCTTGTATAAACTTTTTTTTCATCTTGGTCCCAGATTTTCACAGTCGTCTTTGCCATTTTGGCATAGTCTATCATCTTAGATGGGACACAGGTGGCGCTGTGGGTAAATCCTCAGTGCCTAGGGTTTGCCGATCGCATGGTCGGCGGTTCGAATCCCCGTGGTGGGGTGAGCTCCCGTCTGCGGTCCCAGCTCCTGCCCACCCAGCAGTTCAAAAGCACCCCTAAAGTGCAAGTAGATAAATAGGTACCACTTTCTAGCGGGCAGGTAAACGGCGTTTCCGTGTGCTGCGCTGGTGCCGGCTCGCCAGAGCAGCTTCGTCACGCTGGCCACGTGACCCGGAAGTGTCTCCGGACAGCGCTGGCCCCCGGCCTCTTAAGTGAGATGGGCGCACAACGCTAGAGTCGGACACGACTGGCCTTCGGGCAGGGGTACCTTTACCTTTACCTATCATCTTAGTTATCCCTTCCTCCTTCATTGGTACATCCTCTTCTTTGCTTTGGCCTTCCAGAGGGACCACAACTTCCATCATCCTGCACCACTGGCCATTCTGGGGGCTGGACTAGATGACCCCCCGGAACCCTTCCAGGTCTAAAGTTCATGATTCTAACTGCACTCCTTCTCAAAGGCAATGCACAAAATTATTCTCCCCTGTTCTTCCACCAGGAATACCCACTCGCGGCACTGGCTGCCACCACCTGCCACTGCGGTTTCCCTACGACCCTCTTCACATTGCACGAGAGGGAAGACGAGCAGCTCTGCTCCCAAAAATGCAGCGGCGAGGAATTCGAGAGCTGTGGCACCTCCAAGTATTTCATCGTTTATCAGACTCAAGTTCAAGGTAAGGTAAGGTAAAGGGACCCCTGACCATTAGGTCCAGTCATGGCCGACTCTGGGGTTGCGGGGCTCATCTCGCTTTATTGGCCGAGGGAGCCGGCGTACAGCTTCTGGGTCATGTGACCAGCATGACTAAACCGCTTCTGGTGAACCAGAGCAGCGCACAGAAACGCCGTTTACCTTCCCGCTGGAGCGGTACCTATTTATCTACTTGCACTTTGACGTGCTCTCGAACTGCTAGGTTGGCAGGCGCTGGGACCGAGCAATGGGAGCTCACCCCGTCGCGGGGATTCGAACCACCGACCTTCTGATCGGCAAGTCCTAGGCTCTGTGGTTTAACCCACAGCGCCATCCACTTCCCCTTAAGTTCAAGGTAGAGGGCTCATTTGTATGGAAGTGATTTGCAGGAAGAAGGTTCCTTTCTCAACCCATCTGGCATCTGCGTAGAACTGGGGAAGATCCCCAGCCCACCGCCGTCTGAATCCTTAGAGTCAATTGTTTGTTTTTAAAAAAAACAACAAAAAAACCCCTCACCCTTTTATTTCTTTTAATTACCAAAGATATAAATTTCGCTTTGGAATGAAACAGTAATTAGTTCCGGCTTCCATCAGATAGATAGCTCTGTTGGTTAGATGCAGGAAACCGCTGTTTGACTTTTGCAAGAAGCGGTTGCCCACTTCCTTTCTCCACTTCCCTCTCGTTCCCTTCTTCTTCTTGCTCTATTAACTCAGTTCCCTCTCTGGATTTGTTCATGCATTGCATTTCTATGTGTTCCATTCAGATCAATCTCCTTTTGGCTCTGTTGAAATGGATGTAAGACATTTACAATGGCTTTGAGTGCTGCGGATTTCAGGGGAACTAAGTTCCAATAACTTTGGCAGCAAATCCTATGCATACTGTTACTTGCACTCCAGTATGTTTGTATGTATGTATGTACCCTATGTATACCCCGCCCATCTGGCTGGGATTCCCCAGCCACTCTGGGCAGCTCCCAACAGAATATTAAAAACACGATAAAACATCAAACATTAATAACATCCCTAAACAGGGCCGCCTTCAGATGTCATTGAAAAGTCAGATTCTTGTTTATTTCCTTGACATCTGATGGGAGGGTGTTCCACAGGGCGGGTGCCACTACCAAGAAGGCCCTCTGCCTCGTTCACTGTAGCCTTACTTCTTGCAGGGAGGAAACTGCCAGAAGGCCCTCGGTGCTGGACCTCAGTGTCTGGGTTGAACGATGGGGGTGGAGACTCTCCTTCAGTGTCAGGGAACTGACATCGGAGCCAGAGGCGGAGGCAAGGCTCTCAAGCAATGCTGGAGAAGGGCCCAGCAGGGAGAGAGGCAGCTCATCAGCTGGGGAAGGAAATCAGCGTAACACCAGGGATAAAGGGGGGCAGAAGGGGGAATCGGCGAGGGGGCTCCAGGACTCCTCGCCGGAGACCAGCGGGGAGAGCACGGGTCCTCCGCTACCCACGCCCTCCCTGCGCAGAAGACTTCCGCGCAGGGAGAGTAGGAGGAGACTTGGCGTCAAACAGCTTTTATGCTGGAAAAGGTTTAAGAAACGCCCACTGACGGATTCTGCTAGCAACTGAAACAGCCACGAAGTGAAGGGCTGTCCAGACAGAAAAGGTTTAACAAGGCAACCTAGCCAGGAGAGGCGGCAATTTACCCACGAGCAACCCCTATATTTATTACATTCAGGTATACTGGGCCAAGGCCTTTTAGGGCTTTAAAGGTCAGCACCAACACTTTGAATTGTGCTCGGAAACGTACTGGGAGCCAATGTAAATCTTTCAGGACCAATGTTATATGGTCTCGGCAGCCACTCCCAGTCACCAGTCTAGCTGCCTCATTCTGGATTAATTGTAGTTTCCTGGTCATTTTCAAAGGTAACTCCACGTAGAGAACATTGCAGTAGTCTCTCCATCGGCCTTCATTCCAAGTAAACCATGCAACTATGGTTTGCATGGGGTGCATGCAACAATACGTTTTTAATTTTATTGTGAAATCACTTTATAGGAAGTGGTTTCTGAATGAAAAAATAATAAAGAAACCAGCAGAGACAGGCGGGGCCTTTTCGGTGTTGTCCCCTCACTTTTAGGATTCCCTCTCCAGGGAGATGTCCAAGGCCCCCTCATGATTTACTTGGTGTTTTGTGCACTTATTCCCTCCCAGTGACCGCAGGATCCCTCCATTCCTAGCTAACGCCTTCATTTTGATCTGCTCACAGATAACCGCTGTATGGACCGGAGATTTTTAACGGCTCGGGCCAAGCAGTTTGTTGCCCTTGCAAGCTTTCCTGGGGCGGGCAATACCTGGGCAAGGCACCTCATTGAACTGGCAACAGGTTTCTACACTGGCAGCTACTACTTCGATGGCTCTCTTTATAACAAAGGTGAGAGGGGAGCGCTTGTTTTCTTTTGGAATTTATTGGTGTTTTTAATATAAAAAGAATCAGGAAGGGGGTGGGGGCTGAAACCCTTTCCTGTAGTGAATCCACATCTGCACCATCCATTCGAAACATTATGATAATACTTTAAACAGTCATGGCTTCCCCCAAAGAATGCTGGGAGTTGTAGTTTGTGGTAGTGACAGTTGTTAGGAGGCCCCTGTTTTCCTCCCAGAGCTGCAATTCCCAGAGTAGCTTAACTATCAGTCCCTCTTCCCAGATGACTCTGGGAATTGTAGTTCTCGTCAGGGAAATAAGGGTTTCCTAAGAAATCTTTTGAATGATGGTGCTGGAGGAGACTTTTGAGAGTCCCATGGACTGCAAGAAGATCAAACCGATCCATTCTGAAGGAAATCAGCCTTGAGTGCTCACTGGAAGGACAGATCCTGAAGCTGAGACTCCAATACTTTGGCCACCTCATGAGAAGAGAAGACTCCCTGGAAAAGACCCTGATGTTGGGAAAGATGGAGGGCACAAGGAGAAGGGGACGACAGAGGACGATGTCAGGGAACTGCCATCGGCTCAGGGGCGAGAGGGGCAAAGCCGGATGGATTACAGAGAGCCCCCAAAGATCGTGGGAAGCAGCTCCTCCTCAGCGGAGGAGAGTAACCATGCCTCCAGTGGAGAGGAGCTCCAGGGCTCGGAGGAGGTGAGGCAGTGTCAGGACACCTTGCCTGGGCAAAGCGGGGAGGAGAGAGGTCCTCCGTTACCCACGCCCTCCTTGCGCAGTAAGCTTCCGCGCTGAGAGGGGAGGTGCAGACTGGGCGTCAAGAAACTACTCTGCTGGGTTAGGTTTAAGGACCGCCCACTCACGGATTCTGCCAATGAATGAGCCAGCCAAGGGAGAGTGGCGTTCTGGACAGATACGTTTATTTTGGCATCAAAAGCAAGGCTACACCGGCGAGCAGGGAGGCATTTGCCTGCTTGCTCTCGAGCAACCCCTTGGAACCCTAACAGACGAGATGGTAGCTTCTCGAAGCTACCAGCATGAGTTTGACCAAACTGCGGGAGGCAGTGGAAGACAGGAGTGCCTGGTGTGCTTTGGTCTATGGGGTCACAAAGAGTCGGACATGACAACAACAACAACAAAGAACTCTCAGCATCCTTAACAGACCACAGCTCCCAGGATTCTTTGGGGGAAGCCATGACTATCTATGGTCTCTTGAACGCTCTTGAACAGCTCTTACTGTCAACAAGTTCTTCCTGCTGTTTAGGTGGAATCTCCTTTGCGGGCACACGCGCTAAACCCTGTCTGTGGTGCCTACCCCTTTTCCCAAATGATTAACACAAGAGACCAGAGTATGGGTTCAAATTGGCCACAACTTTATTGAACTTCAGAAGTGGGAAACGTGGCACAGGCCTTGGCAGGTAACCCTCTCAGCCCGCCTGGCTGAGGATATGCAGGCAGTTGAGGCCCAGTGAGAGGGGACTGCAAAGCGCAAACTTACACAGCATGCCCTTCCACTGACCTCGTCAGAGGAGTTTGACCTACATGCTGCCGCTGTAGGGCCAGGGACTCCCGGTTTGCCCTTTAACGGGCCCTGCACGCGCCACTGCATGGGGAGGGAGCATGAATGCACCCCCCCAACTTGATGTTAGACTAAAGGCTACCTTGCCAAGGCCTAAAACCGCCAAAGTTGTGACGAAATTGCTACGGGGAAGGCGAAACCTGCCAATGCAGGGAAAATTCCTTCCCGGTTCTGAATACAGCAACCATCTTACGACCACAGCAGCGCCCGCTGACCAGGAACGCAAAATATTAGCTTGTAAAGAAGAAATCGTTAAATTGAAGAACGCCAACCTAAGCTGAAATTAAAAGGCAAGAAATATTAATTGAGGGAGGGTGGGTGGGTGATCCCAGAAGGAAGAACAGCAAAAGAGGCTTGAGCTCAGGGGTCAGCCTCTTTTCTTTTGGCCTTAGGCCCACCCCCGGCTGGCCGTCCATTGTCCTCCCTGGCCAAGGGCGGGTCAAAGGCCAGCTCAAGCAGGTGGGTGGCACCCGCCCAGGTGAGCCTCGCTTGGTGCCGCAAACCCCGCCCACCTATGGGGAAGGGAGGGTGGATATTGCGGGCACACGCGCTAAACCCTGTCTGTGGTGCCTACCCCTTTTCCCAAATGATAACACAAGAGACCTGTGGGGAAGGGAGGGCGGATATTCTTGTCAGTTGAAGCCACTGGTTTAGGTCCTACCCTCCAGAGCAGGAGAAAACAAGTTTGCTCCTTCTCCCAGGGCTGGGAGCCACTGTGAAACCGGCTGACTTCAGACCCTTTTATGTGAATTGCGATCGGTTGCCTGGAAACTAACTGCAATACTCCCTTGGAAGTTCTGCATCATCAGAGCTTTAAAATATCCATGGTATACAAAGGCAGATCAGTTAACAAGAGGAGTCTTCCTGGGGAACCCGGGGAAGAATCCTCAAGGCCAACTCAGAATACCAAAGAAAAGCCCCATTACATCAATCAATCTCCGATAATCTCCCAGAGAGACGAGGAATGTGCAGAGACTCGGCTTATTGGCACAGTCAGGGCCAGCTACATGCAGCTTGTCTGTGACCATAAAACCAGCTAGGAAGAGCAGGGAGCAGGATTAACGGCCTTAAACAGAGACGCGCAAATTGAGAAGAAAGAATATCTACAGATCCTGGTGTGAAAGAGACCAGGTGTTTTGGGGAGTGGGGAGCAGTCAGTTTAACCTCTCACCCCCCTGGTATGTTTCTGTCAGGACTGCATTTTAAATGTCTGGGGTGGTGGTGGGGAGAAGCAACATCAATTTCCCAGTCAGATTTATAATACTTCTAATGCACATAATGTTGGAGGGAGAGGTTTGGAAGAGAGATCCCTGCTCTCCAGTAGCAGAGTTAAGCGCAATGGTGATTACTCCAAGCATTTTAAAACTTGGTTAGGTTTGCATCTGCCCTCATCCACCTTAAAACAAACATTCCGCATCAAAATACTTAGGCTAGAATAAATCACAGATGCTTAGCATCTGTGTTTCCAGGTGTGTTACTTGGTTTCCAGAAGTTCCAGCATACAAGTCTCCATATATCGGCAGTAAAATGAAAATGAAAAAAAAAAAAAGGTTCAAAATGACTTAAAAAGAAAAGTACTTGGTTTCCTTACAAAAAGGTTCATGCAGTCTTTGGGTTAGCAAAGATCCAGGCTGTAAAATCTTCCTTTTATATACCATTTGACAGTTAAAAAGAACAAAGCCTCAAAGTGGTTTACAAAAAAGGTAAAGCAATAAAATTATCAGTTGTTTTAAAAATAACAACTTTTTAAAACATACAAATAATAATCAGATAACCCAAAACCCGATTAAAACACACACCAGCTTTTTACATATCTGGGTAGGCCTAGTTGAACAAAAAATGTTTTAAGCAGATTCATAGTTCTCCCCCTCTCTATTTTATTCTCATTACAACACTGAGAGGTAGGTTAGCTGAACAGACCAAACTCACTCAGTGAGCTTCAAAGCTGTATTGGGTGTTCCATGACATCATAGCAGCAGCACCAATGGCTGGAGAGCGTCACGGGAGAGAAGGGTCAGGTGACAGCTTTCGGCTTCAGTTGTGAGTGGAGAGAGAGAGAGATGAGTTGGGTTTTCTTAAGACTCCTCCAGCTCAGTCATAATCCTATGACAAAGCTGGTCATTTCACCCTGAGTCTTCCTACTGTTTGAGAAGACTCCCTGGCAGAACAGTACAGTAAATCTCTCTTACACACAGGCACTCTGCTTGTTTGGGCAAGAAAGAAATCTGTTACAAACGGGTCTTTCTCCAGAGCAAATACTGCAGCTTTTTGGAAATAATGCAGCACATTTCTCTGTCATGTGTGATTGTATGCTTTGGGTTGGATCATCATGTTTCTCCTTGCCCTCGCTGATTCAGAGGCCATCTATCTTTCCGTTCCTGTGGGAAATTATTTACAGAGTTAATATTTCATGGGCAACAAGATCATCCTTTACTTCTCCCCCTAAGGCGGTTTAAGGGACAGGGACAAGGCAGCCCACGTGAATGAAAGTTTAGCAGAGGAAATTCCTCACTGTAACAGGGAAGGTTACCATTCTATTCTGTCTCAGGCAGACCACACCTGGAGCCCGGTTTCCAGTTCTGGTCATCCCAGTTTAAGGAGGACCAGCTGGAATGTGTACAGAGGAGGGCAACCAAGATGGTGAAGCATCTGGAAACCAAGCCATATGAGGAATGGTCGAGGGAGTGGCAGATGTTTAGCCTATGGTTACCAGATGTCCTCATTTCCCGGGGACAGTCCCCGGATTTACAAATCTGTCTCCGGACAAAATCCATCCCCGGAATGTCCCCAGATTTCATTTAATGTCCCCGGATTTATATTTTAAGTGTTGTAGATTTCTTAGTAGGGAATGAATGTTGCGTGATTGGTTCAACGGCACAAGACACATCATATGGGGACTTCCGGAGAGGCAAAATGGCGGGCGCCACAGCAGCGGGCAGCTCCTGAAGCCAGCCAGAGCCAATTGTGCTACAAGGCTGGCTCTGGGCTGCTGAGACTGCCACTGCCGCCGCCACTGCTGAGGGGGAACCAGGGATGCCCGGCACGTCAACTGGGGGAACCGCTGACCCCACCCCCGCATCCCAAATTGAGCCGGGAGCAAGAGCGCCCAGTCACCCGGCCAACTGCCCAGTGGTGTTCCAGGGCCAGGAAAGCCCCGGAGCCGATGGCGGGAGAAGGAGGAGAGGAGAAGGAGAAGGAAGAGAGAGAAGGAGAAAAAAGAGGGGAGCCCTGACCTTGTCACGCCGCTGCTGCCGCTGAGGAGGAGAGGTAGGAGAGCACCGGGAGAGCAAGGACACGTGGCTGAGCCCAGGCCCGACCCAAGCCTACTCTACGTCGGCTAGCGCTCCAAGAGAGCAGGCTGGGACCCAGAGGAAGGTTGCACGACAGAGGAGACCACAGAAGAGAAAATATTACTTCTTTTTTTTAAAAAAATAACTTTTTTAAAATAACTTTTTTTTTTCAAAAAAAAAGGTGTCCCTGAATTCTTTGAAAAAAAATCTGGTAACCTTAGTTTAGCCTCGAAAAGAGGAGACTGCAAGGAGATACGAGAGCCATATTCTAATATCCGAAGGGCAGTCACATGGAAAACAGAACAAGCTTGTTTTCTTCTGCTTGGCAGGGGGTTGGACTCGATGGCCCTTGTGGTCTCTTCCAACTCTATGATTCTATGATTCTATGATTCCTGCCCCAGAGGGTGGGACCTGAACCAATGGTTAAGAAAAGAGATTTCAGTTAAACATCAGGAAGAACTTCCTGACAGTAAGAGCTGTTTGGCACTGGAACAGACTCCCTCAAAAGAGGTGGACTCTCATTTCTTGGAGATTTTGAAGAGGGATGGCCATTTGCCAGGGATTTTTTAGTTGTGATTGCTGCATTACAGGAGATTGGATCTTGGGGTACCTTCCAACTTAATAATAATAATAATAATAATAATAATAATAATAATATACCCTGCCCATCCGGCTGGGTTTCCCTAGCCACTCTGGGCAGCTTACAGCAAATAAAAATAAAATAAAACATTAGACAGTAAAAATTTCCTGATACATGGTTGCCTTCAGATGTCATCTAAAAGTGAGATAGTTGTTTATTTCCTTGACATCTGACAGGAGGGCGTTCCACAGGGCGGGTGCCACTACTGAGAAGGCCCTCTGCCTGGTTCCCCACAACCTTGCTTCTCACAGGGAGGGAACTGCCAGAAGGCCCTCGGAGCTTGTCCCCAGTGTCCGGGCTGAACGATGGGGGTGGAGACGCTCCTTCAGGTATACTGGGCCGAGGCCGTTTAGGGCTTTAAAGGTCAGCACCGAAACTTTGAATTGTGCTCGGAAACATCCTGGGATCCTATAATCCTATGAGTCTATGACATGTACCTGCAAAGTCAGAGGCTATGCTCTGTCATGATGGCTATGCTCCATCTCCACAGTCAGAGACTGTCCAGTGGCTGGAAACCACAGGAGAAGAGTGGGCTTTTGTGCTCGGGTCTCGCTTGCTGGTTTCCCCACAGACATCTGGATGGCTAGTGTGGTGTAGTGGTTAAGAGCGGTAGACTCATAATCTGGTGAACCGGGTTCGCGTCCCCGCTCCTCCACATGCAGCTGCTCTGCACACATGCAGACTTCTCTGAAGTCTCTCAGCCTCACTCACCTCAAAGAGTGTTTGTTGTGGGGGAGGAAGGGAAAGGAGATTGTTAGTGGCTTTGAGACTCCTTAAAGGTAAAGGGACCCCTGACCATTAGGTCCCGTCGTGGCCGACTCTGTGGTTGCAGCGCTTATCTCGCTTTATTGGCTGAGGGAGCCGGCGTACAGCTTTCGGGTCATGTGGCCAGCATGACTAAGCCGCTTCTGGTGAACCAGAGCAGCACACAGAAACGCTGTTTACCTTCCCGCTGGAACGGTACATATTTATCTACTTGCACTTTGACGTGCTTTCGAACTGCTAGGTTGGCAGGAGACTCCTTAGGGTAGTGATAAAGCGGGATATCAAATCCAAACTACTCCTCCTCCTCCTCCTCCTCCTCCTCCTCTTCTTCTTCTTCTTCTTCTTCTTCTTCTTCTTCACTGTGAGAATTGGATGTTGACCTAGATGGGCCACTGGCCTGATCCAGCACAGCTCTTCTTATGTTCTTATTTGTTAACCATCAGTCTTGCGTTACGTGCCCCGTGTAGCTCACTGCCAGTGGGTATTATAAAACCCAAGAGTTACTTATTCCCGGTGGTAATAAAAGTCATTATGCTATGTGATAGCAGTAATGATGACTCGTAACGAAGCACTGAAATTAATACCTGGCATATATACAACCCAATCCTATATATGCCCACTCAGAAGTCAGTCCTATTATGTTCCTTAATTTGGGCTGATTGCACAGTTTGCAGCCTATGTGACGACGACAACAACAAAGATTTAGTTATTTATTTAGAATTAAAATGTATAGCTATTATATTCGTGTATGAGCACTACAGTCACATCACTTGATATGAGATTAAACCTATGGTAAACACATGATAATTGTGGTGGCCAGTCATTATGACTGTTTGCTTCTGCTGGCCAGATATCAGAGATGGTAGCTTGCGGTTGTTTGTTCTGAGCCAGTCTCCGCTTACCTCGCTGGGTCAAAGCATATCCGAGCAATGAGCAAAGGAGCTGCCACGAAACTCTTTTGTGCATGTTCTAATTGGAAGAAGCAAATTACATGTATGTAATTAATATCTTGTATCTCCTGCCATCTGATCTCTCCCCGTTGGCTCGAAATAGTAGCTAGCATGGGTTAGTGTCCCAATCTGTCCTCCCTCCCAACATCGCTGAGCTTTGTCAGTCGTTGACTGTGTTGACTGAGAGCCAAACCAGATGGTTTTCAGATGAAATTGTGCTGACAGATGCCCACTGTCTGCCACAAAGGAAACTGGTTACTGGGCCAACTGATGAAGGGATTGCAAAGGGAGTTCTGTCCACCCCTCACTTGAGGAGATGCTCACCCAGGGCTTTGTTCACCTTAAATATCACTTGCAGAGAAGCTGGACCCTCGCAAGGAAGCAGGTCAATGCAGGGAGGCAAGATGCAGAACATTCCAGGTGTCCAGAGGTGGAGCCTTCAGGACCCTGGAAAGCTCCAGAGAAGCAGAGGTGTTGCCCCAGCAAAGGGAAGGAACAAACCTTATGAGGAGTGACAGAGGGAGTTGGGGATGTTTAGCCTGGAAAACAGCAGCCTGAGAGGTGACACGATAGCTATCTTCGTAGCCATATCCGAAGGGCTGTCCCAGGGAAGATGGAGCAAGTTTGTTTTCGGCTGCTCCAGAGGGTGGGACCCGAACCAATGGGTTCAAATGACCAGAAATGAGATGACAACTAAAATGTTAGGAAAACTTTGTAAGAATTGTTCAACAGTGGAACAAACTACTTTGGAGGGGGGTGGGCTCTCTTTCACTGGAGCTTTCAAAGCAGAGGTTGGATGGCCACCTGTTAGTGATTCTTTAGTTGTGATTCCTGCCCTGCGGGGGGTTGGACTGGATGGCTCTTGGGATCCCTTCCCGGTGGAGTATAGGGTCAAGTTCAAGGTGCTGGTCTTGACCTTTAAAGCCCTTTGTGGCTTAGGCCCCTCGTATTTACAGGACTGCTTCTCCTGCTATGCCCCACAGAGAACCTTAAGGTTGATGAATAACCATAGTTTAGAGGTCCTAGGCCCTAAGGAAGTCAGACTATCCTCCACCAGGGCCAGGGCCTTTTCAGTGATGGCTCCAACCTGGTGGAATGCTCTGTCCCATGAGACTAGGGCCCTTCAGGATTTAACCTCCTTCCGTCGGGCCTGTAAGACAGAGCTATTCCGCCTGGCCTTTAATTTGAATCCAGCCTGATCTTTTATTTCCCTTCTCTTCCCTCCCCCTCCCCTTTTATGAAGATTACCCGCTCTGGGATCCCACAGCTAATTCTCCCCTGGCCTCCTCGCTGGCCCAAGTAGGACCAATTCAGCCAGCTAGCCCTCGGATTATCTAATGCTTATTTCCCCTAAATTGATTTCTGAATTTTGAATTTTATTGTTATTCATGTTTTTATACTGTATTTTATGCTGCTTTTACAATTAAGTGTTTTAAATTTGTTGTTAGCTGCCCTGAGCCCGGTTTTTGAACCGGGAAGGGTGGGGTATAAATAACAAATTATTATTATTATTATTATTATTATTATTCCAACTCCACAGTTCTATGATTCACCTCAGCCCCAAAGTACCAGATGATGGATCTCATGTCACCTTGTGGTCTCCTATTCCCCAGGCTAAACATCCCCAACAGACCTTTCCTCTGTTTCTCTGGAACGTGGCATGAGCCCATCACCTTCTGTTCAGCTACTGTGGCATTGGGTGCCCCCTCACACACCCACACACCCCATTTTCTGTTCTTTCTTTAATGAACAAACTGCTATAAAGCCCCAAGATGAACCAGTCTGTGGAGAGAGACAAAGGCCATTTGACATTAATGGACAGGATGGTTACGGATGTTGGCTGGTTGGCTTTTCAAGTGTTTTTCCTCACTTTCCTCTCGCCAGAGCTCCTCTTTCTCTCTCTGCCTCTCTCTCACACACACATGCACACAAACCACCGTTTTCTGAGTTATGAGGCCCATTGAAATGTCTTAGCCAGGAAGACACAATTGAAAGAAATCTCTTTGACCCTCACTGCATTCGGTCCTGTTGGGCGGTGGTAAGGAAGAAAAGGATTTGTGTTTGTAAGGAGCCACAAAGATGTCAAGGAGAACGCAGGAAAATCAGCTGGTCAGAGATAGCAGAGACAACAATGCTGAGAATTAGGGAATGTGTGGGCTTTACAGACATTTAGAGCAGGGGGCTGGTCCACTGTCCCTCAGACCTTGTGGGGTGCCGGACTATATTTTTTGGGGGTGGGGGTGGGGAATGAAAGAATTCCTATGCCCAACAAATAACCCAGAGATGCATTTTAAATAAAAGGACAGATTCTACTCATGGAAAAACACCAGGCAGGCCCCACAAATAACCCAAAGATGCTTTTTAAATAAAAGGACACATTCTACTCATGTAAAAACATGCTGATTCCCAGACCATCCGTGAGCTGGATTTAGAAGGCAATTGGGCCAGATCCGGCCCCCGGGCCTTAGGTTGCCTACCCATGATTTAGAGGGTTGGGTCTTCTTTCATTCTTTTCTTCCTCTTTAGCTTTACTCCATCTTCCCGTATTTGTCCGTAGAGCTCATTCTTTGCTCTTCCTTTTCCTCCCCCCACCCCCCACAACAGGGTTCAAAGGTGAACGGGACCACTGGCGAAGTGGGAGGACGATCTGCATCAAAACTCACGAGAGTGGGCAGAAGGAAATCGAGGCGTTTGATGCAGCCATCTTGCTGATCCGTAACCCCTACAAAGCACTTATGGCTGAATTCAACCGGAAATATGGAGGCCACATTGGGTTTGCTGCTCATGCCCACTGGAAAGGGAAAGGTAAATACGGGGATCCACCCCACCGGCTTCTATCTGCTTATTAAAAGATTATTTTTTAAGCTACCTTTTAGGGCACAGTGTCCTCACAAGGCGGCGTGACAAAACTCTCAAAAGCACACAAGCACGTAGTCTGGCCATATTCACACCACATATGTAAAGCACTATGGCAGGAATAGGGATGTGGGTGGCGCTGTGGGTTAAACCGCAGAGCCTAGGACTTGCCGATCAGAAGGTCGGTGGTTCGAATCCCCACAACAGGGTGAGCTCCCATTGCTCGGTCCCTGCTCCTGCCAACCTAGCAGTTCGAAAGCACGTCAAAGTGCAAGTAGATAAATAGGTACCACTCCGGCGGGAAGGTCAACGGCGTTTCCGTGCGCTGCTCTGGTTTGCCAGAAGTGGCTTAGTCATGCTGGCCACATGACCCAGAAGCTGTACGCTGGCTCCCTCGGCCAATAAAGCTAGATGAGTGCCACAACCCCAGAGTCAACCACGACTGGACCTAATGGTCAGGGGTCCCCTTTACCTTTACCTTTACACTGTCAAATAACTGTATCGTTGAATGCATCACCAAAGTTTCAGCTATCCATGATATAGCCTTAGGCTTAGGGTTTTTGTTTTAGTGGAAGAATGTTGCAGAAATGTGGAGACCTGAAATTTAAGACTAAAAGAAAAATGGAGAGAGCTGCAATCAACGGATCCAACTGTCCCTGGTTAAGACACAAACTGAATGAATTCCTGCCCCATGTCTTGACCCTTGCAAGGGAATTTTAATAGATTGCCCTGCAGAAATGCACAAGTTCAGCCAAAAGAAATAAAACCAGACTGGTCTGCACTGGCAACTCCAGGCTTTAAAAATGCACCTAGTCAGCTTCTTGCTGGGTTGCTGTAGCTGTCAGTTGTACTACCATGTGGTCAGATGGGCAGATCTTCGATGCCCACCCTAGTGCCAGGCTACAGGATTACCCTGCTCCCTTCCTTCCGATTACACTTTTCCTCCTGGCTCCCCCAAGCTAAAGTCTATGTGATTTTTACTTTATTAAAAAAAAAAAGAAAAAGTTCTTTGTTTTTGTTCCATGGCATTAATTTTATGATATCCCTTGGATCGGTTCCAAAGCAAAGTTTTATGTGATATGATTATGCAAGGTGAATTGTCCCGCTTCTGTTTAATGGAACAGAGAGTCCATTTAATAATTCAGAGGTGGGGGATAAAACACAGTTCAAGAAGATTAATAAGGGATGTGGGGAGGGGAGGGTGGACAAGGTTGTCTTTTCCTCAAGGAGGTGAAGGCGAAAAGTTCAAGGGTCCAAACTTTTCCTGCACCGCAAATGAGGCATCGGGCCCGTTACAGTTGCAAACGGAATTCTGGCAGATTATATCTGGTTCATTATCCATTTTATCACCCGATTTTAATGTGAGGATCAATTAGCAGGAAACCTCAGGGGTAATTGAAAGATTTCCTCTCCTTCTTTTCTAATGCAAGGGAGCATGTTTAACTGAGCCCAGGACCTGGTGGCTAACGGAGCAGCTTGCTAATGAGATCGTATCAATCATCAACAAAAAGAGCCTAGCCAGGAAAGGGTTTTTCTTAGGGAATGATGCGTTTATGGCAACAGGTGTAAGGCAGACATGATGAGATGACCCTCCCATTCAGTCCCTTTCCCCCAAAGAGCATTGACTATATTGGACCCACGTCAGGAGCTGATCTGCCTGGAGCCAATAACTTGTTCTTCTCCGGGTTGCTGCCCTGGTAGTGAGGCTGGAGCAACCCTTATAAACGGGTTCCCAGGTACGTAGAATCAAAGAATGGAAGAGTTGGGATGGATCCCAAGGGTCTTTGAGTTCTGCAATGCAGGAATCACAACATGAATGATTCCAGCCAACCAGACTGGTAATTATTCATTATTATTGTTGTTGTTGCATCTATATCCAACTTTTCCTCTAAGCAACTCAGGTGGCTGTCATCTTCGCTCTGCTTATCCACACTTGAGGAACCTCAGAGCTCCAATATAGTCCTACTTCAGAACATCTCTACAAGAATTCAGGCTTCTTTTTCATCATTGGGCTCCTTTATCCAGCTTGCTACCCCAGCTTATGTTCCACCAATCTCCTGTAGGTTTGCCCCAGACCCTGGGACACACACACACACACACACACACACACACACACACACACCTGTGTCTTGTTGCCTTCTTATTTGTTCAAGTATAAGAGGGCTCTATCCTCTTATGTCTGTTCCCTCCAAACCCATAGCAAGGGTGTAGACATGGGGCAGGAATTCATTCAGGTTTGTGTCTTAGGGACAAATGAATCTGTTTATTGCAGCTCTCTCCATTTTTCTAGCCTTAAATTTCTGCTCTATGTACAGCTGTTTTAAACTGTTTTCATGGATGATTTGATTGTTTTGTTCCTCTTGGGTTTTTTAGTGTAATATAAATTTTATGTGGGAGGGACCGGGGATGGAAAAAAGCAATTAAAAAAAATCTTGTCTTGGGTCTCAGGAAGCAAAATATCTCTGGCCCACCTCCCACTCATACCTTCTTGAAGCTGAGCAGATCCAGGTCTGTTCAGAGACTAATCATAAATAATAATTTTTTATTTATACCCTGCCCTTCCCGGTTCAGAAAACCGGGCTCAGGGCGGCTAACAACAAATTTAAAACACTTAATTGATACAGCTACCTTATTTCTACCATCATGGACAAAGGGCAAGCTGTTTCTAATGTGTGTCTGTTGTGGGTCCCATTGCACTTGGCACCAAATGTGCTCAGAATCCCACCCTGTGCCATGCTGCCGATTAACAGGATGCCCCCTCTCTTCTTTCAGAATGGCCAGAATTCGTCAAGAACTATGCCCCTTGGTGGGCGACGCACACCCTTGACTGGCTCAAATATGGCAAAAGCGTCCTGGTGGTGCACTTTGAGGACCTGAAACAAGACCTCTTCATTCAGCTCAAGAGGATGGTCAGCCTTTTGGGCATCGCAGTCCTTGAGGACCGTCTTCTGTGTGTGGAAGGCCAGAAGGATGGGAACTTCAAGAGATCTGGGCTCAGGAAGTTGGAATACGACCCCTATACCCTTGAGATGAGGAAACTGATCAACGGCTACATCAAAACAGTGGACACGGCCCTGAAACTCAGAAACCTCACGGGGGTACCAGAAGACTATTATCCAAGATGATGGTCATGTTGGGTAGGGACCTCTTTCGGCTGGGAGGAACGGGATCTGCCCAGGCAGGTGCGGCTTGGTTTCACCTGGCGAGTCACTATTTCCACCCAGTGGGTGGCCCTTTTTCGGACTTCTGCTGCTCGCTGTTAACGAATCCCCTTGCATGAGCAAATAACAGTCAACATCCACCATTGCCAGTAGAAGATGCCTTGGCAAGCCCGCCCACACAGATCTACGTTCACTAGGGACCAACATTAACATACGGATGGGGGAGGTTTGCAAAATGAAGCTGGATCTTTGCTGCTGCTGTTTGGAAGAGTGTTGTCTCTCCTGCCCCACTTCATAATACGGATCACGTCAGCTCTGTTCCAGATGGTTGCAGTACCCAGATCTTTTGGGCCACTGCAGAGGCGTCGCTGGGGCCTTATCCGAGCCAGGCAGTGTTCTGTTCCTGGTCAAAAACCCGTGGTCTGTTTGGCTGCCCTGACACTCCTCAAGATTCAGGTCTTTCATTCGGATCTGGCTGGCACTTGTACGCACATCCTGGGTTCCTCTGCTCTGTACAATTGAGCCTGGTTCACATATCTGCAGACAAACACCTGGTGACTATAGGTTGGTCTACTCATACAGTACAGTACGGTTGCAGACCTGAGGTGGTTGAGTGGGTTGTACCACTTTAAATTTCAGCTGGAGGATGCCATTTTTTAATTCCCAGGGGTGGGGGGAATACAACACATAAGTTCCTGATTTGTTGGTGGTTGGTAGTTCAGGGATACAAGGTCGCCATTCTCTTCCTGTTGCGGACTTCATTTTCTGCTTGTAGGGGAGCGTCCCAAAAAGTGGTACCACCCACGCTGAGCATTCTACCTCCTCATTACAGGACGCTGCCTTACACAAAGTCAGATTCTTTGTTTGGTTGAACCCGGGACCTTCTGTGCGCATGGCCGATGCTCTAACAGTGAGCTATGGCCCTTTCCACATTCCCAGAGTTCCCTGGGAAGAGGGACGCATTGTTAAACCACTCTGGGAAGTGCAGATCTGTGAGGGGAATGGGGTCTCCTCATTCCAGTCCCACTTAACTACCTGGGCCAGACCTGCAGTTTTGCATGTCAGAATGGGTCATCGCCTTTTATCGCATTCACTTGGGAGGCATCAAGGCTTAGTTCACATGCCTCCATGTCCAGAGCTGTCCTTGATGATGTTTGGTGTGTGGCAGGTGTGTGGAACCTGTGACCCCTCCAGATGTTGGTGGACGACAGCTCTCATCCTCCCTGGCCATTGGCCATGCTGGCTGGGGCTGAGGAGACTTGTAATCCTACAAAATCTGGAGGGCTACAACAGCCTCATCCCTAACACATGGAATTCATGTATTCTGGGATGGATTTGGAAGCTGGGACAGGAAACCCAGCCAGATGGATGGGCTATAAATAATAAATTATTATTATATTATTTATTAATTATCTTCTCTCCTATTCACTTTAGTAAGATCGGAGTCTAGTTTCGCAGAATTGAAAATATGCCACCCTTTGCAGCATTAACACAGCAACTTGGGCAAAAGCTGCGTAACTTTCTAGAATTATCCAGGATGCCTGTGGCAGACTGGATCTTCCCCTTTATTGATCCCTCTAAACAAAATAACAACATGGAAGTCTGTAATGTAAAGATATAAAAATATTGTTTACTTACATAAAGTTGCAGACTCGATTCAAGCAGAAAATATCAGTGAAATAAGTAAATCAGGCAAAATATCCTTCTAGATTACAAAATACATGGTTTAGATCAGTGTTCCCCAAACTTGGGTCTCCAGCTGTTTTTGGACTACAACTCCCATCATTCCTAGCTAGCAAGACCAGTGGTCAGGGATGATGGGAACTGTAATCCAAAAACTGCTGGAGACCCAGGTTTGGGAAACACTGGTTTAGATCACCTTCTCCCTACGGCTTCATGACAAGAGAGTGACTGTTCCTCAGGTGTGAGGAAATGATGAAGATTATCTTCCTATTGTTACCCTTCTCACCTGGGCAAACAGAGGATGTGACCTCACAGAGTGCCCTCTAGGAACTTGCAGGGAACTCTATGTGTCCTAACCCTTTTCTCACCTGACAAACATGGAATCTTATATTTATATTTTGAATCTCCCTTCCACTTGGCCAGTTGCAGTGGCAAAAGCTCACTACAATGACCTATGAAACCGAATAAATTACCAGCATCTATTGCTCCTTGCTTTCATACCTCCTAGGTGTGCATGCACAGGGCAAAACGCCACAGTGCTACAACCTGGAATAAGGGCCTCTTAGGAGCCAGGAGGTTAAAAAAAGAACCCAAAGGATGAGGTTTGCAGAGACCTAGAAGAGAAAATGGCCTCCAGTTGATAGAAAATCCCCAGGTTGTGGCTGTTCCCTCACTGTCATTTCTCAGTCTCTACAGAGCATCTCAAAAACGACAAGCTTTTTGCAATTCTCCTTTTTTCACAAGGAGGTGAAGGTGAATGAAATATACTTGGAGTCGAGAATGGATTTCATGCTCTTTATTCAGCTCATAGTGGTGAAGAGGAATGGAAGTTCCCCCAGAATGTCTGCTTTATATACATTATTTACACAATGGGCCCCACGTGATTGGCTAATTCCGGGATTCTCCTGTAGGCCAATCAGGTTGTGGATTCCCTTCCACCTGGAGCTGGATTGGGTGGCTCCTGTGGACCAATCAGACGGCTGCATTCTGGACCCTATTGTTCTAGGACCAATCAGACTGCTGCATTCTAAATCCTATTGTTCTAGGACCAATCAGACTGCTGCATTCTGAATCCTATTGTTCTAGGACCAATCAGACTGCTGCCTTTTGGATCCTATTCAACTCAGTACATAACAGTGAAGCAAATTGTATTTGCAGGGTCAGGGGGGATGGAACCAGCCAGGAATGTAAAAGCTCTGCCCACGATCCAGTGCATCTCAGATTGAGATGAGGCGCAGGACAAAGAGGCCCCACTTCCCAGCTCGACGCCTCCTGCCCACATGTAGACGCAAAAGCCATATGTCGAACCCAGATTCTTTTCTATCTCCAGTTAACTTATATCCGAAGTCTTGGCTGCACAATTCTCTCTCCATGTTCAAGGACAGCAAAGATATTTCTGCTGCAATGACGGATGTTGCAAGAGAACTCTATTTTTTTATGCACCTTCGTGGGGGGTGGGGGGGACTCACAGACCGTTTGCACTGCTTGGGGCTGCTGCTGCTGCTGGGGTGTGTCGATGCTGCTGTCTACATTGGCTTCTTATTTCCTCTTGCTTTTCTTTTATTGTTTTGATGTTTGACCAAAAGGCTCCAACAGAGCTCCTGTGCTCCTGAATGTATTTTGTAAGGAGCAACAGCAAAGTTATTGCGGGGGGCAGGGGAGTGTGGGGGTTTTTTTGTGTGTGCTTTGAGCCTTTGTGAACCAAGATTATTTATGGGTTTTCTTTGTTTTTTGGAGACCAAATAGTTGTAGTGAAAATGATATGATTTCTACCTTTCCCCTTCATTTGTGGGGTAGCCCCAAAGCTGCCGGACTCTCTCTAAACAATCCTCAGGTCAAATGCCGCTCATTAAACAAACGTTTTCTTAATATTTCTACTGTGTTCTTGGGTGTCTTTTGTGAAGTGCCCCCCAAACGTCAGATGTTTGCTCATGCTGATGTTAAAAAGTGCGCCCTGTGGAACTATGTAGCCCAAGTGCCGGGGGGGGGGGCAAAGCATTCCCCCTACACAGCACCCTTCAAGTTCCCCTATTTTCCAGGGACAGTCCCAGATTTACAGAAGCCATCCGAGTTTCTCATTTGATCCTGGAATGTCCCGCTTTTTTCTTAGGACGTCCCTATTTTGATTGGAGTAATGTTGTATGGTAAGACGTCCCTATTTTCATTGGAGGGTATGGAGGGCTATCAATAATGAAATAATAATAATAATAAGATTAATAAGAATAATAAGAATAATTGAATAGGACGTCCCTATTTTCATTGGAGAGATGTTGGGGGGTGTGGAGTTCTCCGACCCCCAAACCATTTGAAGGCACAGGGAAGTTTTTGAATGTTTAATATTTTATTGTCTTTTTATATACCGTATTTTGTGCTCTATAAGACTCACTTTTTCCCTCCTAAAAAGTAAGGGGAAATGTGTGTGCGTCTTATGGAGCGAATGCAGGCTGCGCAGCTATCCCAGAGGCCTGAACAGCAAGAGGGATTGCTGCTTTCACTGCACAGCGATCCCTCTTGCTGTTCTGGCTTCTGAGATTCAGAATATATTTTTTCTTGTTTTCCTCCTCCAAAAACTAGGTGCGTCTTGTGGTCTGGTGCGTCTTATAGAGCGAGGTACATTTGCAGCCACCCAGAATGACTGGGGCCACCCAGTCAGATGGGTAGGGTATAAATAATAAAAATATGATGATGTTGAAGCTGATGATGATAAATAGGACATCCCTATTTTCCGTGGAGAAATGTTGGTGGGAGAGCCTCTACACCATGCAAGTAGGAACGAGAGCATAGTCATGTACATCTTTGCCACTAGAGGTCCATGTTTCCTCGGTGGTTCAGAGTGCCTTTGGCCAGCTTTGTCTTGTTCTCCAGCTACAACTCTTCTTGGACTGTAGTCCAGGCACTGGTAACCACAAGGCTTGATTACTGCAATGGGTTCTTTGTGGGGCTGGCCTGGGACCTGGTTAGGGCTCCAGGTGGTGCAGAAAGCAGTGGCAGGATTGCAGGTGGGGACAATCTAGCCAAGAACATGTGGCGCCATCGTGGAAACACCTGCATTGGTTGCCTACCTACTACAAAGCCCCAAACAAGTTAGGTCCAGGGGGCACCCTACTCAGTCATCAAGATCGTTGGCAGGAGCGACATTGGCCATTCCATGAGTTGCAGTGGCTCTCCCCAGGGAAGTTCACCTGGCGCCTTCATTATACAGTGGTACCTTGGGTTACAGACGCTTCAGGTTACAGACACTTCAGGTTACAGACTTAGCTAACCCAGAAATAGCACCTCAG